TTGCACGTGCAAATATACCTAAGATTTGAATAAAAATTGAGACCATTATGTTTCTATAGGTAAAAGTATGTGAGGCGTATAAATTGTTTGAGTAGTTAGCAAATCCAGTTTGTGTGTTTGTAAGATTTAGGTGTACGTTATTCCCTCTATGTATAAGTTAGATGGTTAGGAATAGAAAAAGAGAGAACTATGAATGAAATCAGATACATTGCATACTTGTAATTCCCAAAAGATCGATCTCGTGTGCCTATGGTAGTAATCCCTCAAAGGAATGTATTCAATGGCGGATTCACGTCCGAGCATGTTTCTGACGTGCACAAAGAACCAGGGCTTGTACCAGTTGCCAATTGAGTTTACCTGCGGAATAATAGAGAAGGTCCGAGTTGTAAAAGAAGAAGAAGAAAGATGCGGTGGAACAGTTTTGGCAGAGGCGGCCCTCCCCATCAATCACCTTATTGTGCTCAGGTGTATCGGTAAGGTTTCCGGTCATTATGACTCCCTGATTCTCGCTAAACATAATACCCTCCACGAATTCGTTGCCAGGATCCGCGCTTGCCTTCTCGAATTCCTCGACCATTGTGGCGCACCCATTGACGGCCTCGTACTTCAGCCGGACATACTTCTTCGCCGGTACCATCATAATCTCGACTGCAGTCAGAAAACCCAGGGTGCCGTACGACCAAGGCACCGACTCGAACAGTTCATGGTTCTCATCCTTCGTGCACTTCACGACGCTTCCGTCGCAAAGGACAAGCTCGTACGACACGCAAATGTGCTGGAACAGTCCGTGCTTATGTGAAGTTGACTCGATTCCGGTTCCCATTACCAAACCCCCTATTGTCAAATCGTCAATCTCGGGCAGGACCGGAATGGTCCACCCTAAAGGGTTCAGCGTAGACGTCAATTGGCCCATTGTCACCATCGGCTCCACTCTCAGTACCTGTTTTTTTTTTTGCAAATACATTTTATTTTTTTGTGTTCCTCATTATTCAGCAATTACAAAGTCTCCAGGAAACCACTCAAACTACCTTTCGCTCGTAATCGATCTCCAGGATGTCGACTAGATTCACGTCGATTTGGTGCAGGCTTCCTTTGTACGCCGGCCTTCTAAACGAGACGGTCTGCCAACCAGGTCTGGCCGTGCACATTCTCCTCGTCCTCCCCGACTCTATCCAATCCAGGACCTAAACAATACTTAATTTTCCAATTACAGAAATCCATAACGAGCAAATTGGGGTGCTTTCAGCTCTCAAGCAGCTTGGAAAATAATTATTTTCAATCAATTGCACCTCAACCCTCAATACCATAGTATTATACAATGAAAAATTTCACATCATTTAATAAAAAAATTGATAGATACAAATTGTTTCCATATTTTTTTTTACAAAATACATTTTTCACGTCTTTCTATTTCATTTATTTACTTGATGATAACCTGTTTAATTAGATTCCAAATATGGAAATTATAGCCAAAACTATGGTTTATTAATCTATAAGTAACATTAATTTGTAACGCGAATTTTAACGAAAATAATCCTAACATATTTAAGATAAATATTAACTGAACTTTTTGATTAAATCAATTTTTTTTTAAATAAATGAAAATTTACCATATTCCTTCATATTCATTCAAACGTAATAAATACACTTTAATATATACACTTTCTCATTTATTTTGTATTTGCTCGGATAAATAGAGCTTAGCTGAAATTAGCCAAGACCATTAATTATAATAATAACGGACGAAGACAAAGAAATTAATTCGAAAATACACAACAGTAATCGCCAACCTCGTTATTTCCACGTAATCCTGAGATGTTTAATGGTAGTCATTAGTTCTTAACTACCGATAACATATTATTTATTGCTTGTTTTTTCTTTTAATTGCCTATTGTTCCATATCGAATATTTCACTCTCAATTTGAACGCCATTTGATAACAAAAATATAGTTAATTAGAAATTTTAGTTTTTACTGTAAATCATTTTATTTGCTATTGTTATTGATAGTAAATAAAGCAATTATTAATTTCATTCGTGCATTACATTAAGATTTATCTAATTGGGGATAGAGTGGTTACACCAGAAGTGTCTATGAGATACTTTATATGTGCTGTTTAAAAAATTAAGCAATGTGCCTATAGGATGATACTTAGATTTGTGACTTCTATTTATTGTAAATTCTAGATAGTAGTAAAAGTAAGATTTTATAGTATAAATAAATATGGTGGAAAACTAAAAATATGTTTACTTGTCTAAATGGAACGAATAAAATGAAACAAATAAATTCAATTATGTAATGTATTAGACTGCACAGATCTAAAAAATAAAAAGTTATTTCTCAGTTTCCGGTAGAGCAGGAAGTCTATTTGTAACGTCAAATTCCAATTGAGAATGGATATTTAGTTCTCAAGCTAGGATTGCCTGATAACATATTCTATTATTATTTGATGGATCGGTGAGATTCGTACCATTATAAATATTTGTCGGGCTTTGGAAGTGGATAAAAAGATGGTATCGGTATTGAATGGATGAAATATGAGACGACCGTCGTTCTTTGGCGAACACACACACATACACATTTCTGGTCGGTTGGCGAGGAAGGGGGGAAGAGCAAACACTGGATATTATCCGAGAAATTACCTGTTTTGTATCATATACAAAAAAATGGGGGGAAAATTATTGGCGAGCCGTGACGATGCGACCGTGGGTCTCACTTAAGCAATATAATTTATTGGCAGATTGGAATGATCGAAGTCCACAAAAGCCGGATTTACTACAAGTTTCTTTATGACATAGGCCGAAACGGAAAGAGGTATTATATTGTAAGGCAATTAGTCGGGGTTTAAATGCTAATTGTTTTATGAGAGCAAATTAACAAAGTTTCAGGTAGCAAACAAACACGTTTATTGGTTTATTTTATGAATGGAATTCCACATAAATGAATACAAATTTTGAACTGTTTATTTATTTTATTTTTTTCACATTTGAAGCTATAAAACGATTATTTGAAATGAAAATACTACTGTTTACTAATAATAAACTATTTTTCAAAGTAAATAACATAAAACATTTTCTTATAAGATTTTAAATGGATTTATATATGAACACTTCAATTTATTTGTATTATAATCTTTGAAAATTGGGGTGGTCCCTTATGTTTCTTGGTCATCGACTCATCGAATATTTTGTCGAAACTCGAGACTATTTGGGAATTCGTTCAAACCAATAACGCGTATCGAATTCCCAAAGGAAATATTCTCTTCGTAATGAAGTCAAAATTTACCACAATTTGACAATGTGACATGTTAAGTTATGTAACTGGTTAGATTGTTTACTAAAATAATGTACATATGATCAAGTGTAGTGATTTATATACGAATACAGTAATGATCACTGTTTCTTATTGAGTATATGTTTATATATAAACAATGCAAAATGCTTATATAATAGTTTGTAATTAAGAGATTTGTAGCAAAGTCGACTTTGGATGATTGGTTTGGATCAATAAGCGAGAGCACGTCCGCCGAAGATAAGAGCGCACAATAAACAGTGACATTGTTATCCTTATCGAAGACATTTGTCGGGCGGCCGGGGTCATAGTGCACGAGGCAAGATTTAAATAATAAACACGCGCATACACATTAAATGATGGTTACATATTTTGATTTGTATCAGACATGGGTTCCCATTCCATCGTATGCATAATGCATGAGCAATGGATGGACGACCACTAAATAAAGTCCGCCTGAGCACGTACCTGTTTCTGGACACGTTCAACTTTTGTGGTATGCTGGTCAGGGGCGCTGTTCAACCTGAAAACGATCCAATTCCTAAGATGCATCAGTCCATCGTAGACGAAAGAGACCGGTAGCAAGAAGAAGCATACGAAGATCCATCGGTACTTAATCAGAATATATTCGAAGATACCTTTGGGCTTATACGCCATCGTCGTGGCCATCCTGGACCAATTTCGGCTGTGCCGTACACTCTACTGGCTCCTAAATACAGTTTCTCATCACATCTCGACGTGATCATATGCATCTGTATCTGCATTAACGACCCAAGGTCAGACCTCACAGATATATACGATGCGTGCGTATAAATTCATGAATTAAGTATAAACATACTGTGACTTTAAAAAAAGTCAATGAAGACTACGCAACGACCTTGCGGTTTTAATAGTTTAGTCTTCTCAATCAGAAGCAAAAGAAAGCAAGGCCACTACAAGAATCTCCGATCCTGTTTGAACAGCAATCGTCAGTTTATAAACTATTTACCAGCCTAGTAGTATCGACCACCCATTTACAACCAGCAGCTATAAAATAAACTTGTCATTCATGTTTTTATTATGATCATTCTCGTGGCAGTTGGAATTGCCAATATTACTTCAAATAATGCTTCAAATCAAAGAAATAAAGAATTACAATTTTATACACATAGAATCTAAATAATCTAATTATTTTCTTTTGAAATACTTTGGGCACAACATTATTCGCATGTGTTAGTATGTATATTTTGTAAACTCAGAAATAAAAGCAGGAAATGGTTTCACACTTCCTCATTATTATATTTTCATTTCAGACCTATTCCAGGCACATTCTACAAATATAATTATTTTATCCTTTACAAAATTATTAACTTACAATTTATTTCATGCAGTCATATAGAAAAAGAGGGCGGAAAGACCTCAGTCGTTAGCCCTTTGGCCAGCCTATTAATATATATTTTTTTATTGTATGTTAAAATTTATTTATGTATAAATTGTTCTTTTTTTTCTTCTTCTTATGTATTGATGTTTGACCAATAAATTATTATTATTATTATTAGAAAAAGAATATACAAGTCAAGTTTTAAATCAGTTATTATGTAATAATATTCAACTAAATCTTACTTTATAACCAACATTTTTTCATAGATTCATTTAATTTGTCCATGAAAAAAATACAAATATCACAAGTAATTTCCATCTATAATTTAATTGATACTTTTGTAAAGTAGAGCGTTGCAAATATTTATTACATAATTGTAATTATAGATGTATTTGTTGAAATCACCTGGTCATTTCACATATTTTATATTTATCAATTTAAAAGTATGTTACATGACTTATATAACGTTTTTACACGTTACTTACATGGAATAGGATATTACTTTTAAGAATTTGATACACTTTATCCGTTTCGTGGTTTCTCTTAAAGCAGTAAAGCTTCAATACCCAAAATGAGGTAAATGAGTGTATTTTTGTTTGGTTTACACAAAATGCTCCAGTTCTAAATATCAGATTCCATGCATCATTACGTGGTGATCAATCAATTTGTCTTTACAGTATAGTGGTGTGTTATGTTTTCCATTATTTAGTTAGATGGTTATACATTAATTTTGTACATATCTCCAATGAAGAATGATGTGAATTCAATAATATTTGCAATTATAACGGAAATGTAAACTTGCGAAAGGGCATTCCCGAAATAGCTGAATAATATGGAGCAAAGGTCAACGACCTACGGGTTGGCCTTCGCATTATGGATCCTGCCAAATATTTTTATTACGTTGTTTTTAGGCTGAAGTAAGGATGAATGTGTCTATGGGAGGACAGTTTCTTCTATCAGAATAGTCACAGAGGATAATAAATCCCGAAAGAATGACGGGGTTTATATCCGGCACCGACGAGTCCAATCGGAACTTCTGGAATTCCATTATGCGACGAGAAGAGACTTTGCAATTCTTCGACTGGCAAATGAATGCTCCAACTTATCGATTCCGTACTACCTCAAATAACTGTCCAATTTATTTGATGCCGAAAAACCTCTATAAATAGCAAAGATTTCATTCATTTTATGTGCTGGTCTTCATGCAGTTTAAATATAACAAAAAGTTCCGGAATCGATACCAGACCCACCCCGATACAAGTCACACACGCAATGTTTCCGTTTTTTTATTATATTTGACCGTTATTTTAATTGAGGTTTAGTCATTAGTCAATCGACTTTGCTGTTTCGATTAATATATCATTTTTCTTTAACAGTTACAATTTTAAAAGGTCAAAAGTGTAAAAAGTTAACTCTCGCAACTGTTGGCAAAAATGCATCTATTTCGCATTTTTTATTATTCTTCGTAATTTGGATAAAGTAGGAAGTAGGAAAAAAAGAAGCGAACTGCTGCAGAAATGGGCGCTTCGTGGGAGTGTGGGATAAGATTGCGACAGGGTCGTCTCCAGCTGTTCGTGCTAAGAAAATATTGTATAGGTCAATATCCATTTGTAAAAGTAATTTAATAATTGAAATTATCAATAATTATACATTTTTGTTTCTATTATTAATAATAATATGTTATAAATATTATAAAAAAATATTTTCCAATTTTGTCCTTATGAAATTTTTTAAGTAGTGTTTATATTCCTTCTATCAAATGACTCTGGCTGTGTGCCAAAATTATATAAATATTAGTTTTTGAATGAATATTGAATCAATTTTATCAAGAAATAAAATATTTCTTTTGGAAAACCACAAATATTTTCAAATACACTCAACCAATTTTAATGAATCTTTTAACATTTGGTTAATCAGATTATTTTTTTCATTTTACCCCTAATTGAAATAATTGATTTTGGAATATTTTTTTACATTGTACAATTAAAATTGTAAGTTGATTAAAAAAGAATATTTTCCTCAATGACGATACTTTATTTTATTTTCGTTATAAATATTCCTGCAGATAAATCCCTTAATGCAATTTCCTTGGGATTCAATTATCTTAAGTAACCCAGTTATATTTTTCTGTGTAAATAAAGCTATTACATTTGATGAAGCTGTAACCTAGTTGTACGTAATTTTATATAAGATTAAGTTTAGTAATCTTCAAAGAACTATTAACCTAAAAGCGATAAAGAACTAAATAAACTTTATGTTTCCCTCAGGCTTTCTTATAGAATCCCTAGAGTAGAGCGCTTATTACAAATCCATAAGGAATACTAAAAGTCCAATTACGTTATCCTCTTTAAATGAAATTATTCTTGAAGTCTACTATCGGCTTTTAAATGAACACTTTGCTTACCGTAATGAACTGCTCGTCTCATATATTTTTATATAATAAAATTATGATTTTCATGACTAGACGAATTGATTTGTCCAGAACCGAGGTCGGTAACCTAGTATTATCACAGTGACACACACTGACATTTTAATAACCCACTTTATCATTTCTATTATAAAATCATATGCAAAATAATTAACATTATATTTAGATACGTACATAGAAATTGGTAAAATTATGCTGTTTACCATATTCATTATATTCGTATGGCTTTAATTGATATATTGTGGGTGTTTTTATTTTAATTCAATAGAGCTTTGAGTTAAGAAACAGTATTGGATACAAGTAAGCTGTGGCTTTAAGTATATCTGCTAATATATTTCTTTGGGTCTCATATTTTTGTTGGCTAATTGGTTTGTATGCAGTGTCTCATTAGTGTGATTGTGCAGTGCGTTGGAAATTAAATTTATATTATTATTGTTTGTTGGAAAAGGGGTTTCTGGGAATTGTATATTGGGGAGACGTGGGCGACAGCGGCCACCCCTGGGCTACGTTCCTGGGCTGCGGCGCCGCGACGCCCTCGTCGTGTTGTCCGCAGGCGTCGCGGTATTGATTCCGTTGCGAGCAGCGCTCGTAGCTAGCAACCTTACCGGATTACACCATCAGCAAAGGTGGGGTTCGTCATGCCGGCTGCATTCATTTAGTCCACCTACATAGAAGAAGAAATAGTGCAACCGCAGCAGCCGTCGAAGCCAACTAATCGTGATTGAATGGCTGCAATCCAGCCACATTTCTTCATCTGTGCCCGCGTTCCACACTAAAAGAACTCATGATTGGTTCATTCTGGAATCTGTGCAGAGCGTGCCCTTCAATGCCAGTGGACAAAGTAAGAGAACAGGTCTTTTTTCCGTAGTTGTAATTTGCCGAATCGGACTCTTCCTAGATACTAAGACCCAATAGCCATGGAAAGTCCAATTCCATATTGTAGAATCCTCCTCTGCATCCCCCATAATGCAAGGTCACCTATATTATTGACCGGCTCCGAAATGCGGCTGTATTACGTGCGCCCCAATACCTCATCTGATCAGCTGATCAGGTTAACGTCCTACCCGGTGACCAGACTCGACTGTCCTACCAATCACCTGGTGATCTATTTGTTGCAGTTGCATTCAGAATATAGGAGCACGTACAGATGGCATGAATACACGGGTCCACGTCAGGAGGTGGTGCGTCGCGCTCCACAAGGTGGCCATGCAAACGCCGTGGCACCCTCCGGTAAGTCAGAAAAATCCACCCCTTCCGCATTCCCGAGACTTCCTTTATGATGTAACTGACATATTGATCCATTTCTGACATTCGTTTTTTTTTTGTTTGTTTTTTCTTTTTCACTCTGTGTCTTCTTCTTGTCCCCGAACTACGCAGACGAGAAGCGGCACGATTTCGGTAACGCCACCCGGATTGATGAAGAGTCCACCGAAAGTAAGTCAAACATCGGCGACATCAATGTCGCATCTGTGATTGCTTATGTAATGTCTTCAGTGCCAACGTTGGAGCCGGCACTTCCTAGGCGCAAGAAACATCCGGATCTAGCGTACCGCCACCATGAGTTCATCCTGTCCGACGGGAACAATTTCGCCGATGACTTTGAACCCTACGTCGACAGAGCTAGGGTAAAAAAAAATCTGCACGTTTATACATATATCTAAATATAGATATAAATATACATAGAACACATATGATTACACATTTTCTTCGGCAGCGTCAGTTATCGATTGTCTGAATATAACTGAATACATATATTTGTATGTATACATATAAAAGACGATGAAAACTGGAATGCAGAGCGGCAATTCAATCTGAATAATTGAATGTGTTGCGCTGCAGGTCTACCGCCATTAGATTGCTTTTGGTTTTCTAGTTCTTTTGTTTCCATCAAGTGTTCCGTTTTCTTCCAATGTTTCTATTTTGTTCCGTTATTTTTTTTGTACTATTATCATTTTGTATTATTTCTGTTTTTCTTTCGTTTGTTCTTGTTCTGTCGGTTTAGATCTCGCGTCTCCAAACTGTTGAAGTTGTTTGATAGAGTAGATGCTTTAATGTTGCTCTCTTCGATCACGATGCGAGACACCTGATCAGGGGTGTCCGCGCGCCTACACATATACATGCAGCTACATTAAAACGATCAAACATTCAGTTACATAAAACTTATGACGATAGTTAAACAACTACCGCTGCAAACCACCACTTACCTCATTTTCTTTCTTTATTTTGTTTATTTCGTTCTTTTAATTGTATGTTCGTTCAATTACGTTGCGTTTGTTTTGATTTACGTTTTTCACTCACACAGTCGCACCTCAATGGGTTAGAATAGAGCGCACTCTAGAGTAAGCGCCACTACAAGAAGTAATTGAATACAATAGCCTGATGCGCCACTCCAGTCATCACCATCCATCAGGAATCGGTGATGACTGCAGCGGCGGTTCGCACATAACATGAATGTATCGGGCCGAGTAGTTGACAGGGCTAGATACAGAACAACTGTGGTGTGGGTTCGATTCCCTAAATTCTAAACAATAATAACGATGTCAGTCGCAATGATACGACAATACCTTTATATTATTGTTCTTTATATTCTGCCTTTTTGTTTTTTTTTTGAGTTGTCTACGGACGTACCGTTTTTGTTTTTCTTCTTTCTTGGTTCGTTCTCTTTTGATTTCTTCTTGCTGCCCCGACAAAAAAAAATACCACCCTCGCCTGCCCCCTCGCACCTCTTGCCGAACTGTTACACAACGTGAAGAGAGCCCATTCCAAAACGAGTATTGACCACTCCACGCTATGTACACCCCCGCTCTGTTGAGGTGCCAGTAGACTTGCTGCCCTGCCCAGCCCTGCCCAACCCTGCCTTGCATGATGTGACATTTTGGTTGATGATTTCGGCTCAGATGAGCAATAAATAATAATAATAATAACAAAATTAGAAGGATTAACAATGAGAGAATGTAAGCAATCGATCTATGATGCAAACAAACTATGAAAGTGCGTCACGTGAGAGAACTTAGAATGTAATGCATGACAGGTGGCAATTAAAATGAATACGTTTCCGTGAATCGAATGGGGTTAATTAAACATGTTAAATTTTTGCATGGGGATGCCAAAGGTAATTAATATTTGTTTTTTGTTTTCTACTCGAGGAACGAATGAAGTTGTAAAGTAATCAGTAATGAATTAATTAGTAATGAGGATTTGATGAAATGGCATTAAGCAAATAATTGGCATGTCGTAGTTAAATAGAGATGTATTCATTTTAATTACAGTCCGAGGAGCGAGGAGTCTCGAATTGGAGACCCTCTCGACGCAGCAAGTCGGAAGGGCCCGCGCGTTCCAACGCCTTGACGAACGGAGAACGACGTCGGGACTCAAATCCAGACATTCCAGACGCGGAAGACACGGTAACACCATAGACCAGAAAAGAAGCGGTAGGATAGCCACACATTCCAAACACACATCGAGACACAGCTACACGTTGCGGCGATCCTTCCCTGCGTCAACAAGCTTTGACTTCAGTTGCTATTGCAAATTTACTTAATCAACAAAGCGGAATCGCAGTTTGAAGCTTGTTGTTTTTGTCGAAGGTCCCCAAAACACACACACACACAGAGGCGGTACTACATGCAAACGGGAAAACAATTTCGTAGAGTCGCCTCTGCAGACACATCAAACACACGATACTTCAAACACAATCATCCATCAAAGTACTTTTCTAGGATCGATTCCTGAAAACGAAAACTAAACTGGCCATCCTATCATTTCAGTATCTCTGGTTTATAAACGCGAGTTGTTCTGTATGTTGCCTTTAACGAATCTATGTAGCACGGTATGTTTTGTATATGGCAGAAATCTCAAACTTCTGAGCCTCTTATCCCCCGACCAATCAACAACCCCAGCCCCCAAACCAAATAAAACAAAGCAAAGCGAATAATAAAATAACAAACTTTCTCTCTCTCTCTCTGGCTGAGAAATTATCTGTTCCGAAAGAAATTTAGTATATTTAATGATTGAATCGGTGTAGGGTCGCGATTCGGGACTGTTAAAGAAAGCAATTTCTAAAATCAGTACCGAATACCGACTACAGTTTGCCTGGCCTCAGGGACACACGTCGCGACGGGATGCTGTTGACTCGGCGCCGAGAAAGTCCCAGTCGATGGGCGCCCTGAAGCCCGCCGCCAACGCCATGATCCACAGGAAGAGGGCCGAGCACGAAGCCAAGGATGGCACAGGTACCCACCCTTACGTCGGAGACGTCATCGCGCGGAAATCGATACTCATTTCCGACCTGATTGCAGCCAGCGAGCTGGAGCCTCTGGTGAACGACTCTACCATCAAGGAGGAGGAGGTGTGCAACAGCAAGAGCGACACCGAGTACAATAAGGAGTACAGGCCGTTCACCTATTACGATGGGGACGGTAGGGCCGACAAGCAGAACATCCACCAGGAACCCGGAAAGCGTCACTTACAGAACGGCACTAACAAAAACGAGTGGTACAAGGAGGTAGTCGAGCTGAGGAAAAAGGCGGGCGAGTATAAGGTATGGTTTTGCATCCATTGATCTCTCCCCACTGCCGTCTATGAGTCCTACCGTGTTTCGTGTTTCTTTAGAAATGTCCAGTTCGTTTTCGATAAAGTATTTGTTAAGCATCATGATTGATTCTTTCAAGGCAGGGTGGTCTCTCCTAATCCTTCAAACCTGCTATTCCTTGTTGTTGTGTTGATTATAGTATCACTGTATTGGTAGATATGCCAAATATATCGACAGTTCATGCCTACCAGTAGTTTACTTTTTTAAAGCCCAAGCTCGTTTATTGATTGACTGTTGCTTGTCTTTTGCTCAGCATCGTGGATGGGGAAGCAAATTTGGCCCGGAGAAAGCGACCGACATCTACAACAAGCAGGTTGAGCTCTGGGATCAGGTTTCTCGTCGTAGCTCCTTGTCGGCCCTATCTCTCGCATCAACTGCTCACAGGTAACATTTAAGGTCACACAAATGATACCTGCATGCTCACACACATTCCATGTAGGTCGTACACCAAAGAAGAAAAAGATCAGGAAAACACCAAGAAAAGTTCTCCAACCAAAGCTCTGCGTAACACAGAAAACTCGGTGAAGATCATGAAGGATATGATCAGACATCATCTTGAGAGAACTACTGGTGGTTCGGGTAACTCTTCAAGTTACTGCCTATAAACAATAAAGTAACTCATTATTTATATTTAGAATTCGATGGTTTAATACTATCGCCCACTAGAGAGAAGTTGGAGCCGACTATTCCAAAACGCGACGACGATTCTAGGGGCTCTCAGAAGAATAGTCCTAAGAAGAACTCGCCGCAAAAGTCGGCCCTGCAAAAGAAAAATTCACTTAAAGCCAAGAGCGCATTACGCACAGGTTAGATTATTTTATTTAAATTAGACATATTACAAATAATATCAACCTTCCAATAATTAAAAAAATAAGTATTTTATCAACTAAACCAAAGTAATTGTTCTATACTTCAATTGCACCATAAATGATCAGATATCTAGTAGCTTTCTTTGCAGAATCCAGTTGAAGTAGCCTGATTTTAAGGGAGTTTTAAAACATGAACTATGCTATTCTCTATTTCTACATAATGCTTATTGTCTTATCGGATTTTTGAACTTACTTTTATAGCGAGATCTCAGTCTGTTGGTCCCACTGATATGGGAACCGAGAAAAAGTCTCCAAAGCGACAATCGCGCTCCACGGCTGCAAAAGCTGAAAAGAAGACGTCTGCTCCTCCAGTCGTCGAAAAAACAGTTCCTGTTTCCAAGAGACCGCGCCCTTGTATGTATAAGCATGTTAACTAAATCAATGTGTGCCAAGTTTCGTGAGCTTTCTTTCTTTATTTATTTTTTTCAAATAGTGCACGCATCAATGATCAATATAATAATACTACTAAATTAGAGGATTACACACTAAACGAATCTTCGATGATGAGAATGAATATAATAAAAAACAATCAATACGTTACGTGTTGTTTGGCTATAGCGCTTTCGTAGAATGGGTGTAGTTGGTTTTATTTCTTTTTTTTTCTATAACAGAATGTTATGTACGGTGTTTTAGCATCCCTCAACACCACCACTGCCTCATCCCGATCTAAAAGTAGTTCAGTCCCCCCTAAACACGAGGAAGATCGAATGCATACCAAATCAAAGCCTAACAATAGTACCGAACCAAATGACCAGAAGAAGGCATCCACAGGTAAGAGAAACACAGCATCGACCACACATACTCTTTTTCTCTCTCAGATACATCTTCGTTGTTCTATATCTATCTTTCTATATTTATTTTTCTTATATTTTATGTCGTCGATGTTTTTTATTGATAGAGGAATCGTGGCAAGATCACGATCCTTGGCACACATATTTACTTGTAGCGCGCAAACCCCAAGAAAAAAATTATTAAATAGCAATAAGAAGAAAAGAAAATCGGTTATCGTTGCGCGCTTGATTTGATTTCATGTTTTAATGAATTTAATAGCATCTGAAGTGGCGAAGGTCGAGAAAGTTGCACCGGAAGTAACAGAGCCGGAGCCAATTCACTTGGAACCAGTCGTTAAGTCCCCACCGGAGCCGACGCGAGTCAAATCTCCGGAGCAGATCATCATGCGATCTCCAGATCCTGTTAATTGGACGGTACCATTGGATACCGGCAAAACGTTCACCGTCACCCAGAACGTTCGCGAAGGTAGTTGAACAGAAATCATAAGCAAAGGATATATGATTATTGTTGGGTCTTGTGTTGCAGGGGACTTGGCCGCAAGACCCCACAGCGAAGTTAAGGCCTGGACTCCGCCTGATGTTCCGCTACCAATTGCACAAAGTGCTCCGCCGCAGCTGTCGGAGCCGTGCAAAGATCAAGGCATGTCGTTGTCGTAACTTCGGACCTGATTTCTGCTTACCATATCCGATTTGGTTGTATTGCTTTAGGTATGGGTTTAGCAGTCAAAGCATGAACTCTGAGCAGTGCAGTATCAGTTTTAAGAACAGGCGAGTACTAGCTGGCAATCAACTGCACTTTTGAACAATTTTGTAATGGCTTGCACGGCGCATATTTTGGAGGCTTAAGTATTATGGCAGTCGAATTCGAACCAAAACTAAAAACAACAACTTAAAAAAATATACAAAAACCAAACAACAACAAAGTATTTATATTTAAAAAAGAAAAACAACAAACATCAGCCCATTACACATCGACTAGAGAGTTGTAACAACATACGTTTACTAGGAGAACATCACATCCAGAACCATGCATTGAATGCGTTTATCATTGATGCTTGAATTTGAGTCGTTGGTTTTGAGTCTCATGTGCGCTTGTTGCAGCTAGGAGACAACAGGACAATAACTGGAGTAATACGACCGCCAATATTACTGCCTATCCTCCCACTATAGATCCCATCCTAACTGTGCAAAATATGACCGAATCATCAACGTTACAGTACGGCACAACCGGACTGGAAGGTTGTCACCTTCTGAATGAAGTTGCTACTGCCACTAGTCTTCGCCAAAAGAACGAACCGCTCGAAACTGAGACGCCCGTTCAATCATTAGCTGCTGATGTCCTAAAAAAGGCACGGAATAGATTTGATAGTTTCTGGAGAAAGAATTCCAATGAAGAGCCAGTCTAAGGACTAATCCTAAACCAAAAAATAATAATATCTTTATTAAAATCATTATTCCGTAAATATTTATATGATATAGAAAAGTCGCGCCGTGCCCGTAGGTATACAGGGTTGAAGTATGCCATACATTTATATATGTATATTCATGTAAACCAATATACATATATATTTACAATTATACTTATATACGTTAACATTATATATGATGATAGAACCGGTAATGAGAAGCATCGTATGTCAGCTATCGCGGCTCATATATATTTTGTTAAAATATAATAATTTACGTTTTGAAAGCGTGAAAAGATATGAAAATCCAAATTTAAAGGACAAAAAAAATGAAGAAGAAGAACAAATAATATATACACATATATTATAATGTAACTAGATCTGGCCATGTTGTATCCGTTTCCATGTATTTTTTAAGCTAGCCCAGCCATACTACTAAAATGCTTATGTTAAATGCCATCCATGTAAGTAGTAAGATCGTAATTGAAGAAACATAACATTACTATAATCCGTCAAGCTGAGAAACCAAAGCAAAGAAATGAAGAGAAAAAGAAAACTGAAGAGAAATTATTGTAAGAAATAGTGCGCCTCATCGTCACAAGTCCGATCCGAATCCAACACTCCGCTCCACCTACAACATATCTATAATAAGCCCGATCTGGCCGACTAGCAAAGCTACTGGAACTGCACTTCTGACTGGAGTCATAATATCTATTTACTAAACTTTATATACATATATACATATATTTTGTGTAGTTGCGTTTGCTTGCAAACCTATTGTTACTTTAGTTGACATCGAATGCACCTAAATATTATTATGATCAGTCTTGCAGTATTATATATAAAAATAAAAGTTTCTGTTATCATAAAAGAAAAAAAAAATAATATGATCTATTTATTCATGACCATCCAAAAAAAAGAACTATTAGAAGGGATTTCACTATATATAAATATGTACATGTAGGTATGAAAAAAGCCATTTTCCTGAACATTTTTCAGAGAAGCAATGACTACCCTGCAAAAAATGGTATTATGAATGTCATATTGTTAGTCTGTGTCACATAGAAATCAGAATCTATATAACATGTTATTCTTAAAACTTTTCTGTTAACATTAAAAAAATATATCTATTTAATCACGAACTCCATAAAAAAAAATATATGTATGGAAACGATTTATAAATGTTTAACTGGATGTTCAAACTACTATACAGTTGGTTCGAAGATACTTTACAATCATAAATGAATGAAATGTAAACTTTGCAGTGCTGTTGATGCGTATAACAACAAACTGATGGTATTATAAATGTCATTTTGTATTTAAATAATTGTTAGTCTGTGTCAACTAGAATTCAAGAGAAAAAAAAAGGACAAGATTCTATATAACCTGTTATTACTACGACTTTTCGAAAACTAAACTACTTATAATTTATCGGTATTTATATTGTATGATGTAAATTTACATTGAATAAAAATGGAACTTCATCTGAACAACAGAAATACGGAAATTTCATTTCTCCATTCAAATATTCCCAAACAAATATTTTTCGAAAAGTTTACTAAAATTGTAACTTAAAGTTATATATATTTCATATAATCCCTATTAATGTAATTTAATATGAATCTGAGCAGTAGCGCATGTTACGTAACTTCACTTTCATAAAAAGTTGCGTAAGGGTGGCGCTCATCTTACGCAATCATGAAATGTAACAAAAGTTACGTAATTTTCGTGTAATTAAGAAAAAACGTGAAAACTCTTCGTTTCTTATCGAAAAACGGTTTTTAAGAAAATACTATTCACGAATTGCTTATCAACTGGAATACAATACACGTTGTATAGTAAATAAAACAATTAAAACTTTGAAAAATATATTTGTATTATTTATCACGCATTTTCATTTACTGAATTATCAATTACACAATAATTTCAAATTTGTTGTTACCACAAGTTTAAATTAGTTTTTGGACACTATTTTTTTATGACATTAGATGTTAAAAAAGATTTTTAATTTCAAACTTAATTCTAGGTTAACGTATATTTGATTACGTTGTCAATTTAAAAGAATTAATTGTGTTAATCTTAAATCATATATTTAATATTTAGAAAGAAATTAAAACAATATTTTTTTAATTTTGATATCTAGTTTAAAACGATATAAATATAGATATATTATTTAGATTTTTAATACAAATACAAAATTAGTGAAAGTGAATTAGTGACGACAAGAAACAAAATGAAATCGTCTCATTATTTATATAAAATAGTAGAAGTAACGAGAGAATGTATGCTCCTCCATTCTATTTTTATTTAAAAAATGTATCTTTACAGATTATAAAATAGGCATCATAAACTATATATAGGCATCATAACATGAACGTCCGTAAGATTTTCGTTCTGCATATTTCCTGCTGTTGTTGCAATTAAATCTAGAATTGTTTATCATTTCCTCATTTTGAATTGAACGCGTAATAAAATCAAATAGTGAATATAGTATTGGCTTCCCTCCTGCAAGTGGCAACAGAGCCGTGTAAGTTATTACTAGAACAGTGATCGTGATATGTTGGAATGCTAGCAGTTCCCGGCGCTTGTCGTCGAGGAGGGCGTGGCGGTACCGGAACTTGAGTACTTCAGATCACCATCACAGATGTATTTCCCGGAAATGAATCGCCGTTTGACTAATGATAACCTATAACCAGTGCCCAGCAGTTGGAAGACTATGCCTGATAGTGTTGTCCCTTCGCAATTGAACTGCGCCTGGATAATGGCTGGTGTTGTAGGACCATCCTGCAAATCGAATCTGGCTAGCATCGATCCAATGCCGCTATTATCGGAATGTTGCGACAGTTCGGTAAACTTCCATACAATGCGATTCGATTCCGTGTTCCTGAAAGTAAAAAATAGTTATTTTTAATACAGTAACTAGGTGGATTATTCAAACGTACCATTGGGCAGGCGGTTTTGATTGATTCGTTTTCACGCCACCATCGACAGGCACAGTAACAACGACATTTAATAGAGGTGAAGCCGAACTCATTGCATGTGAATTGTATTTATAATCAACTTTGAGGTCAGTGTGGGTATCCTCGCATTTCCAGTAGGCCACTAATTGGAATGGACAAGAATTAGCTCCCATTTTCGGTTTAATCTGCAATTTCAAGTATTATAATATGGATGTTTTATTGTTTTCATTTCTAATTACTTGATATTTGAGAATATCAACATTGAAATACGAAGCGCTTGGATTTTGTTCGGACTGTTTCTTCAGTAGGGCACTTAGAGCAGTCATATTAAACTCAAGAACTACACTATCCGAGGCCGATTGTCCACTGTCACTGAAAGTAGTGCATCTCCATAGATTTGTCATTTTTCAATAAATATCATACTTACATTGAAACTAATTGTTTATTAGGTAAAATACTGCTCAGCCTCTGAGTATTGTTTACACGAAAGGAAAGCTTCGCGGGATTTGGATTATTTGCTAGAACTGTCACTATGCCGGCTGGAAAGGAAAGCATCATTTCTCCCGACATTTTTACTTGGCATCTAAAATGTTAAGTTATAAGTGTATAAAGTAACAATTAGGAAGTCTATACTTTGTTTCGTCAGCTCCTTTGAAGAAGGAGTGGACGATCTCGTGGAAGGCCACAGCCAGCGGTATGGTGTCAGCCATTCCAATCGTTAGTGGAGAAGGTCCTCTAGAAACACCAACAGGACAGGCAATCCGGAATTCCAAACTGCCGACGCTATCCGCTCTCGATAGAGTGGAAGGACTTATGTGACCTCTAGGAGCAGCGTCAGATCGTCTGGAAGGAGGCCGAGGAATTGACATATAACCTGATGTGGGCGTTGGCGTTTGACGAGGTTTAGGCGCAGCGTTGTTTGGAGGTTGTATATCACCTACCTCGCAGAACAGATCGCCCAAATCTTAAAATACCAACGTAAAGATTAAAAGGTCAATCTGCCTGAAAATAGACTTACCGGCGTATTTGGAGGAAGCGGAAAGTGTAGGAGAATTCAATGTTGGCTGTGATGGACTTTGTAGTGGTGCATAGGGATGGGAACTTGTGGGCGTCGAAGCATTCGAGGCGGCGGGACTTTGGAAATTCAAACCTAAAAGGTCGCTACTAAGCTTCCCACCTAACTGCTGCGACACGGACTGCGATCGCTTCATTGCTACATCCTGAGAATCCAAGGCGGAACCGCGCCGACCCAATCCGCCACTAACAGGTGATAGGTAGATGTTCTCGACCGTGGCCCTCAGCTCGTCCACGGAGGCCGACATTGGTGCCGTTCCATTATTCAACGGTTTTATCTCTACCCTGATTTTCCTTTCCCTTTCATCGTCGGTATCCGAGTCCGAAGACGAATCGAAGTTACTCTTGTCATTGGCCCACGGCGTGGGCGTAGTCGGTTGGATTACGTAACCATCCTCGTCGACCTCTGGAGCATCGGCATCGCCACTTTCAATCTGTGTCTGGCTTTTTCGCACTTCATCCTTTTCCTCCCTGCAAAAGAAAACAGTACCAGCTAGTTACCTCTGTAAGTCTACCTCTGAAGTCATTAAAATGTCTATACAAATCGGATTTATCTTCCTTATTGCTTTGGTTATCTGAGTTGTCTTTCTTCTTCTTTGCTTTCTTCTGTTTGGCTTTATCTCTTCTGCTTCTGAGAAACCCTACAGAAAATTCGACAAGGTTTAGAATGTAATTTAGGTGGTATGTGTAATTAAAGTAAAGTACATCTAGTTATACAAGAGGAAAAAAGTGCGAATGTGTGAGAATATGTATATATGTTCTGATAATACTGATTATTACTATATACAGTAGTGAGAGCAGTCAGGCACCCGCCAACACAGTTTGAGGGATTATAGTCTGGTGCTAAGGGTAAATAATATGTGAGATGATGAAGAGGGTTATGAGATGGGCTTAGCAGTATACGCAAGCACTACATCGATCAACGTGCCAGGGACTCCACCACCGGAATCAAAATCCCTTGCATGCACGGGACATAGCTTTAATAGAAACATATTACATTTAGATCCTCGCTGGACGCCACGCGTCATTTCTCCAGGATTAGTAGGACTCGACGGTGCACTGCATGGTCCTGCTCGGCCCTCGCGGGACCCTGCAATCACAGCCCCAACCAACCCAGGGTTAGTAATGTCCACAGGCACATTTATTCACACATACCCTGTGAGTTAGACATGAAGAGATTAAGAAGGGAGGTTGTACGACGGGAAGATTTGGCATGTGTTGGCATGGCCTGAGACCCAGATATATTGGTCTCGTTACCTTCTCGCTTAGTGGGTTTTGCAGGTTCCGTATCCTGCGCTGGCGATGATATCACCGGCTCCTTTATATCTAATAACCCTGCAACGCACATATTAACGGATTATGCAAAAGGGTTCAGAAGCGGGATACGACTTACTTGGCTTCTGTGATCCAGTGTGCTTGCTTAAAACAAACTGATCAAGCAAGTTTTCTACAGTAAGCTCCAAGCATTGATTTTTGAATTCCTCATGTACCTCTCCAACCTGCTCATGGGTGCTTTGCACTACCTGTACATAGGTGTTCAAGAACTCCTTCATCTGGGTCAGATGGCTCTCCTCCAGATCTTGAAAATGCCTACAAGTAATGGTCATTTTCCTTTCAAAATCCTCTTTGATTTGACCAAACTTATCTACAGAATTTTTGTATTCTTCCTGGGCTTTCTTTAATTTGATTTCTGCTTTTTCTACCACATTGGGCAGAGGGTTTTCTTTTTTCAGTTTTTCAACTTCAAGTTCTCTCTGTGTGAACAGATCTTTGGCCTTCTGTACCATTAGTGTTGTTGTTTGCATAGCCTGCACAGCTTCAAGAGTTCCTGATTCATCATCTTTGACCAACTTGTGTTTTTTGTGTAAATCATCTGTGTATTTACTAACATCTTTGACTAGATCGGATACCTTCTGCACCATCTGCAGATGCAACGCTGATAGGCGTTCTGCAGAGGTCTTCAGAACATTCCATACTGGCGCAAAAGTGCCCTGATTGCAGCAATTGCCAGCCTGCTTGGCAAGCTTTGCCAGCAACTTGGAGTTATTCTCCTCGATGCTGGACCTCTCCCTCAAGAAGTCTGTGAACTCCTTGCTGGCCAAAAAGCCATATTTCATATTTCTGTACAACACATCAAATCCACTGTTCTTGTCCCCCTGAAAATAGCGTTTTCATGAGTGTCGGGGATGAATTTGCGCGCTTCGGACGGGAAGCCAAAGGAAATAAACACACCTTTGTTATTGACGTCAAATTGGAGTCAATTAATTAAATGGAAATTCCGCATAGGTTAAGTTCCCAACAACGAACGTTCGTTGATGGTTCCGAGCGAAGGTTAATTGGACCGAGGGGTGGTCAGATCGGGAAGCGCAAGGATACAGAAGATTTCTCATTTGATGTACAGGTTTTAGCTTAAATCCAATTTGCACACTTACCCAAAAGTAATCATTAAAATCGACAGTCATTTTTATGCCTCTTCCATTCCACAAAATGATCCAGTTTTAAAGAAACATAACCGCTCAGACGGTGGCCAGCGTCGCGGACTCCACGGGCGACTCCTACCAACTTCTACCACAGCTAAAAGCAATAACAAATACTTGTTTTGTTGGCTGGACAGTTCCTTGTAACGTTCACAAGATTCAATCGTAAATATTACTGAGACTCAGGGGGGCGGATCAGCGGAGCTATGTACGTGACAACTACCAGATGGCAGCACCTAGAACATGCACCATTCGTTTAATAATAGAACAGAACTTGTTTACTTGATCATCGATCCTTCCTTATTCGCAAAGCTTTGTAATTGAATTAGATAATTCGTCCAGGCCTATTGCATAATCGCAATTGCATAAAGCTTCTAATACGTTCAATGCATATGCAACCAAACAGACCATAAGCTTGCAATCATATAATACAACAAATGTATAGCAATTAAGATATATTAGTAGAAGTAATTTATATTCAATACAATATCAAATAGTATTAAATAAACACTGCCTCCATTATCATTTTTATTTACACAATTGACATACAAATTATAGTAATACAAGTCTATAGTAAAGTTATTTATTTTAAATTAATATGTAGAACTAGTATACCTTCTGTGTTAACGCAGATGAATATAGATAATAATGTTTAGAATTAGTGGATAAAGTAATGCTTATAAAAGATGGATGTAAACATTAATGACCTAAAGATGAATGACCTGAAAGAGGAAAGGAGTACTTTCAAATGCATGACATTCCTAAACTCCGCGGCAGTTATTGCATTCACAAGACTAATACTATGTCATCTCTGTTATTATGTAATACTATTCGTTATGAATTGCATATTGTTTATACGTTATAAATATTAATTGGACTATTGCTTAATTTTGCTTAATTCTGTATATTTAGGACGTAAAAATTCACTTAAAGACAATATTTATTTATGTGTTACCATTTGATAAGAAAACTATATATTTATTTTAATTCATTCAAGAAAGCTCTGTTGTTACTACATAGCTAGAACGAAGATAATGAGATTAGATTACTATTTAATAGTTAGTTAAGTTAGATCGTTTCAATAGAACCGCTTAATTACTTCTAGGAAATTAGGAAAAATATTCTGATTTTAGATTACTAATTAGTTGCTGGTTAACTCTATACTTTGAATAGACTTGATATATTGCTTTTTGGAAACTAAGAAACATAAAGTGATTTTAGTCTACTATTTACATGGAGATTAGGATCTTAATATTGGAAGAGAAATGTTAAATGATTTCAGAAGAATCTTATTTGCGTAGACCAGATTTTTTAATGATAATAATAATATTTATTGTAACAGATACATCATTATATTAGAAAATATAAACAGAAAAGAGAAGATGCATATTGATGTACTTTAATATTGTTTCTAAGTTGGTAAAATGTATTTGAATTATAAATATAACAGGTGTGTCCGCATATGCAATAAAAGTAATTGTTGGTAGGCAACTAAATGAACATAATGATATTTAGTATGCAATTACTCGATAACTTGAAAATGGTTGAACGGTGTTTATTAAATTGAATTTGCAATTCGGATTTTGCTACTACATAATGAGCGAAATGCATACGGAATATAAACATTTTTAAGCAGCAAAATGTCGTTAAATCCTTGACAAAAAGGAGCACCATTAAAACTCTTAACTGCGCGCGGTAATGGCCTTTTTATGTAGATCGTCGAAGCACGTAAGATGTTTAATAGAAATTAAGCGAGTAATTACATTTTAATTGCATGCAAACGGTTTACTAGGAAACATCTAGAGATTCGCTTTCGGTAGTAAACGTAATAGCGCAAGAAACAATGCGCGACAACCAACGAGAGGGGGCTTCCCTCCAGCTTAGGTGCAATTAGTCACTGCATGCATTTATATGCACTTACGAAACGATAACGATAAAACGCGTGCGAAATCCTGCAGAAAAGGATTGCTGTTGCATTCCCCATTCCTTTGGGTGGGTCAACGAGTTACCAAGTGTTTGCAGGCTCTTTCTCCTCGACCACTTGCCACTCACCAAGCTCTCACGAGGAAACAAAATAGAGAAACACCTTTAATGGTACGCAATAAAATTGTTACAAATATAATAAAGTGTCCTTATATAAGGTTCGCTTAATTACGTTCCCAGCGATGTCGTTCTTCATGGTCCAATCCCCCATCACGGGTTAAATAAACCTCGACAACAACTTAAACATCTTTAATTAATAATAATAATCATAAAAAAATGGTTATATCATAAATAAAATCAAATATATGACTACATAATGGCAATAGCGATCATAATGATTATAAAGAAGGATTAAATTCATAGCTAAGTACCATTAAAAACATTGCATGTAAATAATGTAGTAAGAGATCTATGATGATGATGTTGATGATGATAATGATGGTCGTTGCGTTGATGATGATGATGATAATAATGATGATGACAATGAGGTTAAGAATAATCGTTACATAATAAACAAAACAAAATAATAATAATAATTATGATAACCGGTGTTGAATGGAACTCACGAGTTGTTGTAATAAGATTATCATAAAGTACTAGTTCAGCGATGAGGGCAGTTCTGCCGGACAAAATAAGAATGTTTCCGGGGCATAGCCTTCTGCATTCAACACGGATTGCAACCGATATGGAACTTAAGTAAATAGTCGCGAGCACCTTCCTATTCGTTCGTTAACCTGCGTTCGGCGTTTCGTTAACACGTTAATAATAAATTTGAAACAACAAAAAACGTAAGTGATTAAAAAGAAATAATAATTATTTAATATATTAGACGAGTCTCACTTGATAGTAACATGTTCTGGGTTTCGCTATTTTATGCGTTTTCAAACTGCTTGTATACTATGAAGCCTAGTTTACATGGAGTGTGATCAGCCACCATGTAAACTGGGATAGGAGCCAAGCATACGTGGTGGCTTGAATTGGAGTAATCAATTACATGCCAGCATGTAAACCAGGCCTGAAGCTGCGTCTACATGGAGGCACCGGCGGACGTGGTATAAGTATCACAAATGGAACAAAATGATTGAAGGTCGTGTACGTAGATCAAGTGCGCGGTGCCAAGGTGTAGAAGCAGCTCTTGATACAATGACATGTCGGACTGGCCGGGCATTGTTCATTTGGCGGTGTATCACTAGGCTTTCGTGCAAATGCATCAGGCATTCGTTCAACTGACATTTACTTGGCTGTGCGCTAGGACGAGTATGTCTTTCTTCTCCTTCGGGAAGCGAAGTTCGCGGCCGGCGAGTCGGGCGGCTTCCAATTCGCGTTCGGCCTGGTTGAGTTCGCGCCTCAAGGAACCGGCGCACTCCTGCTCCCTGGCGATCCAATCCAATGCCATCTGCGACCTCATGTCATCATCGAGGGCTCGGTTCGAGTAGTGGGCGACGACCTCCTGTCTGCTGCACTGCCGCTCCCTCATGGCCTTCAGACTTCCATTCCAATGGAGCAGCTGGAAGACGGTCATCAACTCCTGGAACTCCAGCATCGTGCGACCTTTGTTGGACTCGAGCATGAATCGGAACGCTCCGATGCCGGTGTTAGGATTGTCAGCTTCCTCTTGATCACCTTTGAACGAGGATCGCGCTTCGGCGACGGCCTTCTCGATAAAGTCGTCCGAGATCTTCCTGGATGGATGCTCGTTGAATACGGAATTCATAAGGGCTATCTTGGCGGCGCTCCGTCGCGCCTCGGCTTTCGTTGGGCAATTCTGGAAGGTAGTAGGTAACAAGTTAGGTACACATTGGTTGCTTTCGAAGTTTGGTGTTAAAATTACACGGGCGAGTTTTGTATGTTTTCTTTTTGTTTTGTTTTCGTTACCTGGAAACTGCCGAAGCAGGAGCCGCCGGGTAGAGTCACGTAGCACACGTAGGGCTGGGTGTTTGAAGGCACTGACTCGTAAATGACGAGCGCACCGTTCCGTAGATCGGCGCCCCTGGCCTGCTTCATCTGCCAGAACTCCTGGAGCGCCTCGACCACGTTCACTGCAATCAAGGGAAACGCGTAAGTCGTATTCGGGGTGTAGGTTGAGGAGGGCGGCGGCGATGGCGACGCTAGTGATAGCGACAGCGTGAGCGGTGAGGGCGGCGGCGGCTGCACACCGCCCCCGGCTCCACCCCCGTCCACATTGCCTCCACCGCCTTCGCTCTCCAGCATCTCTTCTCGCGGATGTTAAAAAATCCTTCGATATAAATTGGTGTTTATGCTTTGTCTTCTTCCTTCCTTCTCCGAGTTGGAGAGAGCGAGGAACAAAAAGAAAAAGACAGCGACAAGAAAATAAAGAAAATCAATCGCCACGGTAGTGTTAGCTCTCTGTTCCTCTCAAGGTGTATACACTCGGTGCTTCTTGTTTGGAATTGCGGCCCGGCTCGGGATGATGCAAATAGCGCAGGTGATCGCTAACGGCAATGTTTGGTCGCGACTACCGTCACCGTGGACATGTTTGAACGGTCGACCGCCGAAACAAAGCATTGTGTGCTGATTAAAGGTAGCACTCAGGTGGACTCAGCGGCAACCTTTGCGTCTGCCCGAAGCCAGTTTTTAAACTTTTTAATGGTCCAAGTTACAGTTCAAACTAAATTTATGCTGCATACACGACTTTTTGCCGTCTGGCTATGTCATGTGAGAGATGCCGCAACGGTCTCTCTCCCTGTACCCGAGCTCGCGGCTCGCATCGCCCACTGTTACATATCGCGAACAAAAAAAATACTCACTTATATATATATATATAAAGACTAGTATATATATACAGCCATATATATGTACATAAGTGAGTATATAAATATATATATAGTGGACTTACTCCCACCAGGAGTAAGCACGAACAGACAGCTATTTTAATTCGACATAGAGAGTTAAGCATGTACTGGTTAAGAAAAGTTTCGTCGCCTGAACGCCCATTGAAATTACTCGGGAATGACACATGCATAACAGAGTGCGGGCAGGAAAAATACGAATAAAAGGAGCACGACGATGAAGAAGAAGAAGTTAAAGAAGATGAAGAGAAAGAGAGAGACAGAAAAAAAAAGAAATAAAAAAAAAGAAAAAAAAGGGATTGCAGTCGGAGTTGGAGCGTGAGAAAAGGCGCAAGAAGCGAATGAACGGCGGACAAACGGTGGAGGACGAGGAGGCGAAGAGGAATGGGGAAAGGACAATGGGGAGCGCGATAGCGAGGCGACACGTTCCAGTTTCCAGGGCGTCGGAATCGAGAGCGCCGCGTGCACCTAGGCGGATTGAAGGTAGTAGTAGTAGTAAAATGGTGGAGAAAGAAACGTACCACGGTAGCCTTCGTCGTAGAGTTGCAGCATAGGGGTAGTGGAAGCACAGGACCATTGAGGGTCCGGGTATACCATCATATCGGAGGCAGGCGTTTGGCCACTGGCGACGGTGACAGTAACGGAGACGGCGGGTTCAAGGATGGGCCGCGGAACAAGATCGCGGTCGCGGCCCGCACATGTACTCCGCATCAATGGACTTCTGCACTGCACATATGCACACGATGCATGATGGTGATCGGTGCTGGTGTTGCTGTTGCTATGCTATGACCGTTCTTGCGGCGGCGGCTCTAACAGCAAGCAGCACACCACCGGCTGCTGAACAGCTTTCGGACCGGGCACCTCCCCGGTTGGTCTCCTCTTTACCACTCTCGGTACCACGGGTACCACTCTTGGTACTGACACACGGTCAATTCGCGACGATCGCCTCTTACGTTCCCACTTGCCGCACCGGCAGCACCAGCAGCACAACAGTACCACGCACACTTGTGACCGGAGTAGCGCGAACACGCATATGCACAGAACGTACACAGGTTCCACAGGTCGCTGGGTTCCTTCGGATACCTCTGGTCGATGGTCGTTGTGCTCGCTCCGGCTCACTGTTGGCAGTGTTACTGCTTGCAGCTCTTTAGAAGCCACGATTAACGCACGAGTAACGCGGACAAGGACAGCCGTACAGTTGATGTGGTCGCACAGTTACCGGATTGGCAGCCGGACCTCTGGTACCAGATGGATGGATCTGTGCTCTCGCTTCGCCGCAGCGAGCCGCTCTTGCCCGACTACGGTCCGTCGTCCGCCGTCCTCCTCCAGTTTTGCTCTTTCAATTTCATTATTATGTCTTTATCTCAATAAGATTGTAAACATACCGTTAGATAATGCGCCTTAATTCAGTAATCTAGTTCACCCACGGCACGGACTCACGGCATACCACGTCTCGCCCAAGGGATACCTGCGCGAACCCGACTGCAAGCATGGCCAGGTATGCCTAGGGACAGGGACAACGACAGGGACAGGGACAACGTCAGGGACAGGGAGGAAAAGCGGTGGTAATCAATGAGTCCTTGGGTTGGGTACCTTTGGCCAACCTCGCGTTCTTTAACCCAAACCACCGACGGGCGTTTCCAAACCACAGCCACCGGTGATATTGCAACCATTTGGCAGCTACTTCGCCCGCTACCACCAATTCTCCCCTTCTTCTCCCCCTGACACTCGCCACTGACGGCTGCTATCGATGGGCTTCTGCGGTGGCATTATAATAATCACCTGCCTCCCACAATATGATTACCCAACCATACGTGGTTTCAACTCCATTCTTTCCATTTAAATTTATTATTTCCTTTATTGTTCCTCCGTTTTCTTTTACAGCTTTTCTCGAAATCTGCTAATGAACACACAACACTAATTAGTCTCATTTTAATCACCAATTTTTAAAATAATAATTATACTCAACATCTACATAAAAAATATATAAACTAAAACTTCAATCGAATGAACAACTTTTTAAACTGAAAATCTTAGATTTATAGAGTTTTAATTAATATTCATTGATTTCTCTTAAATATTAAATTGTATATAACCACAAAGAACAATGAATAATAATATTTTCTAACAAAATTAACTTTAAAAGAAAATAAATATTTAATTTTACAAAGATGCTTATGCAACATCTTAATGAAGATAAACGTCGTTTTATTCAACGCGCTTGAATTTTTATTACATTATGTTTTGCTCCTAGATTACCGAGCATAAACTGATTTACAATGGAGCATCAACAAGGAGGAGTGAGATAGAGCGATTGAATTGATTTCAACAAAGGACATAACTCGCTTTAAATCAATTTCAGACACGCAAATTCAATTAGCTTTGATTAAACCCAATTGGATTCATATTATTAAGCAGCGCGTAATTGCAGTGTTTTAAAACTGGTAGTCGGTTACAGTGTTATTGTTGCTTCTTGTGTTTTTTCCTACTTCTTATACTACTGTTGTGTATAAACGCAGCAACTTTGCTCCACTCATTTGTTAATAACGTATTTTCAGGTCACGAACACGATCGAATTTATTGCCTAATGCTTATTCTTCTTACTAATTTCATCCGGCAGCACAAACCATATGTCGTGGAATCCAGTGAGAACTGTTTTTTTCTTCTTCTTCATCATTATTATTTTTACTTTATAAAGTACAATACGTATATCAGATTTTGTAGTTAGGATACAATCCGCACGGAAAGACCTTGCTTTTCACGTTTTAGCATATATAAATATTTATAATGCACGTACTTTTGCTTTTTCGTTGCTGTTGCTTTTCTTAATGCTTCTGGTATTTATTTACAAGTTTCAGTGTAATAAAAAAAAACTTTGAACGTATTTACGTTTTCTCGGCTCAAAGAATTTATGTGAAACGCCTTTAATCTTTTAAAGAAAGTCGGCTTTTACTTTTCTAATGAATACCTCTTAGATAAGAATTGGAAATACCAACATTTTATATAATCAAAATTACAAATATTTTTTGTTTTAAATAAAACTATAAACTTTTGAATACTGAATGATAACAGGTAGTTGCGTTATGTAACTTGTTGCATATGTGCAACAAGTTATATTATTCTTTGAAATGTGTAACAACAACTAACGATGCGTTATTCATTTTAAACTTTAGGCTGTAAATCAATTATGGTTTACTATCTAGATTGTCATAGCATTTTTGTAATATGAATTTTAGTTTTCTAAATAAAATATTATGTGAATGATATACAAATCGGTCTTACTGAAGTCCTAATTATTATATCTTCAGTAACGGCCGTGCTCTTAATTCTTTTTGAATTGTGTAAGGTATATTAAATAAAAGACGAGAAAGGTTAATGAACAATTGTTGACTTTATCAACAAGAACAACATTGGGAAAAAAATCGTACATTTTATAGTAAAACTAACTTAGCGACTAAGTTGAAGGAACATGGAGTAATATTTGGTATTTGGATGATGTGGGCGTGTATATTTTTATATAATCTCGTGTGTCATGGCTTCGTTGTCGAAGCCTCGGAAGATCTCCTGGATTGGAATCTGCGCCTTGGTACAATCGACTTCCCTCTTGAGCAACTTCGTGGCTAGCCACTTTCGCAATTTGTACACCAAAAATGAGCAACAATGTATAACTACGAGGAAAACCATCGCTCCGACGCATATGGCAATAGTGGGTCCTGGCTTATCCCAATTTATCACTTTGTAGATGTTCGGTTTCCCATCCCTGAAAAAAATAAAATAAATAAAACTTTGAAGGTATGCCTTTATAAGTTAATGATTGATGATTAATGGGGCATAATTAATGAGCATTGATTGACGTTGATATTTGTGCGTATTATGATTTGTAAGTAAAATATTTATTTAAATACTTTAAGTGTAGTAGAATCAGTGTTTTAGTGATGTATGATCGTGAGTAGCTTTGGAGTTAAGAGATTAATGAATTACCTGGACGTGCCACCGGCAGCGTAATAGATCACGGTGAACGTCGTGTATACTAATCCGAACAGAAAGGGGAAGTAGATGTGTGCCAACTTGACTGGATGAGCAACTACGCAAAGCTCTATGAACATTGCGACAGAGTTCATACCGTGAACCAAAATGTTCAAATAATCCAAAGGCATGGTCGAGGCTGTAACGTGAAAGTAACGTTAGAAGTGATGGTAATGGATAATGATTTATTTAAGAACCGTCATAGATGATGGCCCAGTAGAGTGCGGTGATGGCAAAGGAAGCATCCGTAGCTATGATATTCGTTGCCCAGAACACCTTGTAAAGAGGTTCGCCACAAGCAGCTTCATCATCGCCTACAAATTAGAGACTGTAAAATAGTTGTACTCAGGCCGGAAGAGATTTGAAGACCTTTTCTGGAGGATAGGAAGTCCCTAATAAGTATAGCAGTAGCCAGGACAGCTTGCACCGTGCACACCAGGAAGCCCCAATTGGTCAAGTAGATAGGCCACTTTAGACGGAACATGTATGGTTTATCGAAGTTTCTTTCGTCCACCATAGACAGTACGAGGGAGCTGAGCAGGAAGGCGGTCATCGCCATCCTGTAAACCAGGTAACCGACGCTGGGGACTGGTTTTCTCTGCCACTGCGAGTTGATAAGCGAAAAAATAAAAAGAAGAACGGATTCGATTGATTTATGGTCGATCGTAAAACCATCGATTCGCCCAAGAAGCCTGGGATTATTACTTACTTGCGACATTGCGAAGACGCTAGAATCCTCATGTTCCAGCGCGAACTGTGCGACGGTGAATTGCTTCTTCCATGCATCAAGCATTGTTCCTGCAAGAAGAACAGAGACCAAATCTTTATTGCTGTACTTGTGCTTGTCGCTGCCTGTACTTGCAACATTAATGAACTTAATTAAGTAACAACGCTGCGAAAAAACCTATTGCGTAAGGCGACCGGTCAGCGAGATTTCTCTTTTTGGCACTGGCGAGTCCATATATTAAATCACAAACAAAAAAAGGATAATAATAATAAAACGTCTGTGCGAAGTAGGCAGTAAACCTCAGGTAAATAGAACCAGCCATCCTCAATAACCAATTACTCCTTGAAATCCATTATGTTGTAATTGCACCGGAGTATAGTTAATGAACTTGAAGCAATTTATAGCCAAACCTATCTTCAATAATCATCTAGATTCTAAATTAAATCAAAATTGGTGTTTTTACCTGAGCAAATACGCAGACTTGGAACCATAATTATTAACACAATGAGTCTACTGTCACAGTAAAGTCAGGAGTGCCAACTATTAAAGACCTGTGACAGCTGTGAGTTAATCTCAAGGACATTTATGACTCAAATTACATATAGTGTGTATGCAGCATTATAAAAATATTTTTTTTTTACAAATAAATGAATCAATAATTTCAAATACATAATGTTACGTCAAAATTATTATGGTCAATAGCCCTTAGCAACAATTATTTTTTTGTTTTATTATTGTAATCTAATAAGACATTCAGAGGCCTAGTGTGTACAAGTTAGTTGTCAAGTAAAGAGTAACTGAAGCTACTCTGAATTGTATAAAATTCAATTTCAAGGTTGATGAATGAATGTAATTTACTTATATAAATTAAATTACATCGTGTTATATGTAACTTGAAGCCGACATCTAATACAGACAGATAGGTCGCGATTAATAATAGGAGTTCAATTCAATTAAGTGAGAACTTAATGCGGTGCGAAATTTCATTTACTACTTCATTTTTTTCACTTTACTATTTGACTAGTGTTATCAAACCAGAAATTTCCCGGGAATTTTGAAACAATATATAGTCTTGATACCCGGGAATTATCGTCCGAGACTCGAGAAATTTTCATTTCCTTACAATAGTGATAGTGACGAAGATCCGAGAACTTTAAATGAATTGCCAATCTCCTACAAAACGGGATCAATATAAATTACTAAAAAAATAATTTAATATATTTGAAAGAACTGTAAAGAGAATATATAAAATAATGGATTTTATTTTTAGTCACTTATTACAATTTCTCGAGTCCCGAGAATTCCCGGGAATCAAAAAAAATGTCTCGTGACTTTCGCCCTTCGTGAATAAAGTTACTATTATTATTGCGAATACATATTAAATTAGTAGTAACGGTTGCCTGCGCTCTAACTATTAGATAATTAATTACGGATTCTAGTGAACATATTTTCGTTTATTAGAATCCTGCAGATTTACTAGCGTGCGCAAGGTATAATGAAAGTAATTAGTTATTAACGTCGTAAAACCTGTCAAACTAATTAATAATTAGTGATGTAAATTGATTTCGGTTTATGTAAGATTACAAAATACAAGTATTATGATGAGCATTTTATTGCGTAACTTTAGAGATTAATGTTGTGTATAATTACTATTGTTTTTTATCAGTACTTAAATATTTGGTTGTAATTGAAACTATTAAGTTGGTAATATTATGTTAAAATCCCATTGTTTGACTACTGTTTCATAATCAATGCAATTTGACCGGCGTTCATTACACCGTAATCGCAATTGATACATGTTTATATACGTGTGAAATTTAAACTATTTTCATTGTTTAATAATATCAAATTAAATACTCTTTATTTAAGTAAATAAACATTTCAAGTTCACAATTTAAAACAACAATAATATTTGATTTAAAAAAAAAGTCATACAATAGAATTAAACCCGGATTAAAGTTTGGGATTTAACTACTAACTTTGAGACTCTGGAGATTAATAAAAGTTATTTTAATTTAAGAATTAAATCCACCCATATCGCAACTTTTCTAAAATAAGAAAATAAATAACAGAAAATTTTCTATTCATTAAAATTAATTGCAATTGTTGTTAGCCTTGTAAAAATATATGCAGTTGTAAGTTTTTTTTCTCTTTTTGCAAAAAAAATAAATAATTGCTGTACCTATGTGCTTGCAAAAAAATCTGAATATAAATCCTCCTTACAAAGAAAAGATTAATTAAAAAAAAGTATTATTCAAGATATGAACAATTGCAAGGCATTCATTATTGTTAACTAACGTCATCGAAGTAAACTTACAACATGAATGTTTGGCCTTGGATTGAACGCTTTATAAATTTTAAAAAAAGTTACCAAGAATTATTGATATTTGAATATAGTATCAACTAAATAGGTTGTGATTGTGCAAAAAAAAATGTGATTTGTCCTTGTTTTTCAGTTCATTTATGTTTACACATTAATGTTTTTTTATCAAATCTATAAGAATTATTGAAATTGTTAAAAAAATGGTTTTCTGTTATTATTTGCTTTTTTTCCTCATCAAAATATGTGTTTCTAGTAAATAAAGATTATTTAATTATATTTATTTGCTTAGTATAGAAAATGTTTGCTTTATATAAAATATGGACAAAAAAAACTGATCAATTAGTAACAGTTAATATATATACTATACAGTTATAATAATAATTTGTTTTAATTTTTGATTTGTTATAATAAATATAAAAATTGTTATTACTTGACAAAATTTAAGAAAATTGTTTGTTTAAATAATTGTTAAATTTTTAAATCTATTGAATAAGACACTACTGTAGACATACATAAAATAAATTTCAAATTATTATATTTCTTTAAATATATTTTAGTAATTTAACTTATGTTTACAGTAAACAAAATAATTTATATAAAAAAAAGTATTTTTCCATCCGTCTCTTGTTAATAATGTGTTTGCAAATAATTGTTGTGAGGACGGAAAGACCTATGGTATTTGAAACATATAATATTTTATTTTTGACTGTTGTAAGATTATTATGATTATAAATTGATGTTAAATTATTTATTTAAATATAATAAAGATTTAAACGTAAGTGCGATTTAGAAAGCTGTGAGTTTGTCTATTGATTTAGATGAGCCGAATGTTATTGACTACTACTTACAAAATATGTTACGCATGGATGAAAGTTTTTCTAGGATATTTTGAATCGCTTGATCTTTGGTTATTTAGCAACGAACTTCACTGGTTCCAATAAATTCGTACCGACAGAAACAGCAATAGGTAATGATGAATCAGCCGGTTGTACCGACGTAACGTAATTGCTCTATTCCGCTGTTCAATCGTAATGCCATCTCCGATGAACACATCGATCAAGACTTACCACGGCGTATCACAAGGGTTTCCTTCTTTCTTTCTCTTCAAAAAGAAACGCGCGTGGCTGTCGGAACAGGGGAGACCGAAGTACTGGTGCCGGCAATAATCGATATCACTGGGGCATGGTCAATTTGCGGCAATTAGGCTTCCCTGCGATCCGTGCGGTATTATTGTCCGATCTGCCGCAAACGCACGGAAAACTAGGATTGCTGATGATTGTATTGAATGATGGAACTATACGATACGGTACGAGACGGAACGGGTAGGATTGTGTATTTGATAGAGGTGCAGATAGATACGAGTGTTTCAATTTTTTCGCTTCGTGATCGACCACGTGGGTTCGCCGTCGGTGTCGCTTGTGATACTGAATTGCTTCGATTGTACAAAACACCCACCGGCACAAATAAGGTTCGTGATCGTAAAGACCTTTACCTATTCATAAGCCGTGCACTTAACCCTTTGTTAATTAGAGGGCTCCGCGCATGTCGCCTACCGTGCGGCGGTATCGCCATCAACCGATACATCTGCACCCATGGGAAAGTATCTGCTCTGGACTCCTCACGAACTTTATAATGACCATGTGAAAGTGATGCCCGGCCGCGTATCATTCTTCTCCCATTATATCACGGTTACTAGCCCCGCGACCGGAAGCCAATCGTACCCCAATTATGAGTAGTAATACCATCAACTACATCGTATTCTTCCATTCAAACCGTAGGAAACCATCCCCAGAAGCTAACATACCTGCACGTCCATCCCCCCAAGGTAACAAGGCGAACAGGCAGCGTCGGAAACGGCCACAGCAGCGCCGCATCATCATATGCCTGCGTTTCCTTCTTTCTGAAAGCAAAAAAGACAACACACAAAAACAAATACAACAACAACAACAAAAACCGCACACTCAACATTCATATTTTTCGGCAAAGTACAGTATAATACAGAATTCCTAGACATTCTATAGAATAACTAATTATATTAGTCGTAATGTATGACATGTTTATGCTTCGACGTTCTGTAGAATACCTAAAATAATTGGGCGTATTGTATAATTTACAATTGTATTATATAATGTATAATTTTGTAAATCAGGCAAAGTCTGAAATTCTAAAACTATTATTATTTAACTAGTTTAATTTTGTTGAATACCATAGATTTTTCTGGAAGAACACAATTTGTAGTAGTAGTAGTTTTTATACTTTGTGAAAAAGAGGTTACACAAATAGAAAAACTTTGTTGATGGATTTAAAACAACGTTTTGTTAAATTTTTCATGTGCAAAAGTCATAAATATGCTTACGTCAGTCAAAAAATGGATGTAACTATAAATGCTATTCAAGCACAACTTGTTCCAGTAAATAAAGTAAATTCATAAGAAAATAAAAATGTTTCAATTATTATTACAATTTTCTTTTTATACACTCTGTTATAAAATGCTTGGATATACCATATAATGATTATGTAATGTATATAAGATAAGCACTAAAGACGCAACTAAAGCATAACTTTCTGCAATCATAAGATTATTATAATATGTGAGAAAGTAAAACTGTTTTGATTCCGATTAAAATCAACATCAACACAAAAATATACAGTCATTGTCTTAATTAACCTAGGCATTCCTATAATGATTACGCAATTTATAGAAGACTTCTTTATTGTATGTTTTGTTAAATTCCACGTGGCATTATTATATTATACCTAGGTATTTTGTAGAATACAGACTTATATACTTTTACCGCTAACAGATACATCTCTTCATCCATTCAGCAATATAATATTATTATTATTTTTACAAGACAAATATGCGAATAAGTGTTTCCACACCACTCGCAGACCGGTTTCTCCCCGTGGGGCTCATTAGCTTCGAGGCCGATGTGACAAGCTGTGTATCTCTCTCCTCTCAAATTGTGGACCCGTGTAGAGATAGTTTCGCCATCATCGACGGATCCCAAAAAAATGCGCGATCCCTGAATATTATTTTTTGTTTTTTTTACATAACGCGTAGCTGATAGAACGGGAAAGAGAAAGAAGTCCGCTTCGTCCCAGGCCAACAGCATTAGCATATTATTTATTGGCGACCTCGGATCGAACTTTCAATTATTATCCAGTCGCCAATGAGAACACCAATCTCACCATCCATCCACACGTATTAATTTATATATTTGTTAATTCGAAGCCTGTTTTCACTTATTTCTGTTATTTTTCTTTCTAAACAGTCGTTGCACCTTACATAACTGAAACTGAAACTTCGAGACGTGAAAACTAGTCCGATTAGTCACATCGGAATGCATCGGAGAACGAAAATTAAGAGTAGAAACTTTCATTCCATTCAAAGCTTTCTGACCTATATTCCCGGTCCGGGCGAACTCTTATGTAATAAGAACGTGCGCGCCTTGTACAGGAAACGGAGAAAGAACTTCGCAATTGCACAAACGCAGCAATTAATTACATTTATTTATTTTGATAACGTACTTGGGAAAGCGCTAGGCATTTGCTCGACACCACAGGTTGACAACCATCGCCTCTCGGTACTGTACTAACAAGGAACAAACGGAAAATTTGTGGCATAGGATTGTATTGACGTTTCAAAAACGAGCAAAAGCCTGGATAAGATAGAGCGCATTAATTTTTCACTTCATTATCGGTTTACGTAGCCTTCGAGGCGTGTGTTTCGGAAAATTTGCCAAGGTAACAATCGAGAACAATTATTTGCACCAACAAAATAATACGTTCCACATATTATTCCACTGTACTTCAACCGAAATAATTACCAAACTTTAATATGACTGTATAAAAAATTACAGTTACTGAATTTTATATTTTTCTTAAAATTTAAAGTACTTTAACAATCGGTATATTTGTTAATACAAGCTGAAACTTTTAGCTTTGTAATTATCAATATTCCAACATTTACTTGGAGCAATAATCAGAAATTAAATTTAAAGAAATTATATAAATAAAATAATGAAAATCAAAAGTAGGACTAAAATTCATTTGAAAACCAAAACACCAATCAATATAATGATTTTTCTTGGAAATTAATTATTTCAGTTTTAGCGCCTTTTATTGATATTTCAATTAAATATTAAAATATCAAGACTATTATTAAATTAAATCAAATACATAATATAAACTTTTCGGAACTTACTTTCTGGACAGGCGATAAAACAAACTCTATGCTAGAATTAATTATCTAATTACTTATCAATTATTTACTATTACTTATTCGAATGAAGAAAGAAAAGTACATGACTATAGTTTTTGATACTGGAGAGTTAAAACGATACCTGCGCACTCTAATCTTAGGTTTAACTGAAAAGCTTATAATACTCTATAATCTACATTTATTCTCATTGTATTTATTTTATGTTGAGTAATATAAACTACGGATTACATGAATATTATCTCAATTGGAATTTGTGTCTATATGAGCTTTACAGATTATTTTTTTATTATTTATTTCAAAAAATGTATCTTGTAAGTTTAGGAAGATTTGTTTAGACTAATTTAAAAGTAATTTAAGAAAAATGCTGTTTTTCAGTTAATTAAAATATAAACAAGAAAATGTATATTTTGTATCTGCGGTGTGTGAAAATTAAAATAATCAGTTACAGTAGAACAATAGAACAAAGAAATAATAATTATCAAGGAAGAATGTGTATAAATCTTTATGCACTGTGGATATGTAAACAAATAATGAAATATATTTTTTTTTCTCAAACTGTTTTAATTTTATTTTGTTTTCTTCAAACGCAGAAGGAAAAACATGTAAAGGTAATTGAATGATTTTTATTTTGTGAGCCACGTGAAAGTAAAACTATCAATGTGGTTTACTGTACATTAAGCAGGCGGTACTCGTGACGTTAATAATTATGAGTCTCAATTAATTAATAACATGAAAGGAAAATGCGTAATAAATATGTCAAAAACACAATTGTTAAAGTCTACTTTAAATCAATATAGTAAAAAAAATATGCAGTGTGAAACAACTGTTTTTATATTTAAAATATTATAATGTAATCAATTATATCAACATAATTTCTTCCTATTCATTTTTTTTATATAACTTATAAATTTGTGAACATTTGTAAATTCAGATAAAATAATAATATCAGTCGACTTAGTTAAGTTTAAAGTTTAAATATTGTAACCGGAAACATTCTTTATTACTACAATTTTTCATTTCATTCATAGTTTCCAAATAAATGCACCATTTAATGCAAAAATTGACTCATTTACTATAAAAATGTACAGAGAACGAAAATTTGAATCAATTTGTTACTACATATGTTGATTCTATTACTTTGCTTTGAATTTTTTATTTACAAATTTTGGTTGTATGTATTGAAAATTTGTGCTATTTTCATATAAACTGCATTATTTCTCATATAGATAATTGTTCATGTTAGTTTGGAGTTATTAGAGTTTTTAAAATTGTTGAATAGTAACAGAGAAAATGTTTGTTTTTTTTTTCATTCATTATCACAAAAATTCCATATATTGTTTCACTTCTGATGTTTCACAAGATTTTACTTTCACATCCCTCCCTTCATTCTACATTAAAAAAGCATATAATAAAGCAGGGAAAATGTTTTTTTTATATAGGAAAATATACTGAAGAAAACCATTATATAATATTTATTAAGGAAAAAAAGATAATTTAACAAAACTATAAGTCATAAGATAGAAAATATAGCGATTGTAAACATGTTTTTTTTTTTCAACAAAACTCTCTTTTAGTTCCTGTATGTAAGCAATCGTGACGGAAATAATTATGGATCTCAATTAACCAATAACATAAATGAAAAAAGAGATCGCAATGCGTAAAACAACTCAACAACAAAGTTATTAAAATATACTTTATATTAATAAAAAAAATCATTTTGTAATGTGTATTACAACATTTTTCTATGAAATTTTTAATTATTAGTTTTAGAGTTTATATGAAATAAATGATGTTTATTATTATGATGTTCATTTAATTTTATTATACAGTGGAACCTCGCTTAACGAGCAAAATGAATTGTAAGAAAAATGACTCGCTTAACGAGCAACGTTTTGCATAACGAGTGACGACGAGAAGATAAGTTCCGGATTGCGCGCCTGCTACATACATACATATTATATGTATTTTTGAATATGTTTCACTATACGAGTAAAATTCGGAAATTTTGGAACGGATTAAACTCGTTAAGCGAGGTTCCACTGTATTTTATATATAGATATGATGTAATTGCGATTAGTGCTGTAGGTCATGGTATTTCTATATGTTCATTCAATAACAATCATTTATTATTTCAATAATTTTAATATTAACCTTGGATGTGTAGATTAGATGATTTATGCTATTTTTTCCTACATATTTCGCAAACTTTATACAATATACTTTTCTGGTGGTTTTATTTTACTAACATATTTTTTATTTATTAATACTACATTTTTAAATTTATGTTAAATAAATTCATAAATATTGAAAAATGGGATGAATAATTTAAAGGAATATACAAGAATTAAGGAACTGGAATAATTGTAACAAATATATGTATTTACGCTGATTTGTAACCACTTATTGAAATGTATGTTTGAAGAAAATATACAACAGTAAAAGGTAAATATTTAAAATAACTTACAAATTGTTGTCCATGTACACGTTTACAAACAAAACAGTTAAGTCATTAAAGGTAATAAAAAATATTACTATGTTGTGATTCAAAAATAGACATGTGCTTGTTAATTTTATGATGTTTTCTGTAAATAGTAGTTTTATTGTTATATTGCTAACTCTGTAATATGTAAATATTTATCCTCAATCCATATATTATTTTTGTACAATGAATAATGTATTGACTTTTCGGTAGTCAATGAAAAGGATTCACAATGAAAATGTGGATTATCGGAAAAACAGCAGAATTACCATTGAAATTGGTGGCATTCCTTGCTGGAAAAGCGGCTGAGCGTGCGATGAAAACTGTTTGTAATGAGTGATCGTGCCGATCGCGATTGGTGGCATTCCTCTGGGAAAATCTTAATAGAATCTATTAATTATGTGACAGTCGCGGGTCTCGCGCTGAATCACAATGAGGCATCCGAGGTCCCTTAATGACATGCAAGAATCTCGGATGGCAGAACTGGAATAGGCCGGACCCGAAGTGGAAAGAAGGACGAGTAAAGGAATAAAAAAAAAAGAAGAACGAGAAAAAGAGAAGAAAACAAGAACTCTATATAGAAGAACGGGTATACGTAATGGACATCGATTAAAAAAAAAATAATAAAATAAAAATTGGATGCACAAAACGGTGCGGACGGAGGTAATAAAAATATTTGAGATGCCGTAGCCCGGGCTTATGCAACAGCATTTCCGATCTGCAGCAGGCCGGGAAGACTACGGTCTTCTTACTCATGTGGATATTGCGATTCGGATATTGGAGATATGGATGATTGAAGCGGCTTTTGTATTGTTTTAATTTTATTTAAAACTTTTATTTATAGATAAAAGCCTTCTGCGGTTATTCTCAGTTACATCTTTTATCTTCTTAGTGTTTTTTTTTTATCTAACAGAGATAATAATAACTTAACTATCAAAAAGTCTTATACTATTGCACAGTAATAATAATAATACGGACAGAAACTACAAACTACTCCAGTCGTATACCATGTAAGGCTATAGAGGCCCGGAACGTTCCTTTTCAAGTAATACATTGTTTCGGGCCGTCCATGTCACGAAGATTAAAAATAACTATTGCTTCGAATAAGTTGGGCATCACAGCCGACAGTGTCCGCTGCCGCAATCCGCTCAGAGCTAAAATAATGAGAAATAAAACAAAAACGAATAACAAACAAAAAAATATTCAATCAAATAGGTAATTTAAAATATAATAAATTAATATGGAACGGCGGAACAGGCGGCGCGGAATCGGTCGGAATGATTGCGAAGTGCAGATGGCGTCTTCTTCGTTCACATCACTTGTAGGATCTGGCTAGCCTCGAAGGCGGTGCCGGGCAAGAGGATCACCGGACTGGAAACGTGTCCAGCTTCTACGCAGACCATGTTCGGATACTCGTCGTCTCCGAAATCGGACATGTCTTTGGCGTGGTCCATCCACGGATTCCAGACGACGGTGTCCGGGAAATTGTACTTCTGGATCCTCATCTTCCTCCCGGATACCACATTAGTTATGATGTGCTCGTGCGGGGTATTCTGATAAATCCTATCAGTCCACTCCCCAATAGTCACGACGTCTCTAGCCTCATGGTAGATAGCACCGTCTCTAGTCTTATCAACGAAGGTGCAACCGTGTAGTCCTGTGATCTGGCACCTCCTCACGTCCGGCACTTTAAAATATGTGTGCAACAGCATATTAAAGCTAAACGTCAAATCCTTGCTAGGATTATAGATGGCAATGTTAAAATGCAACTCCTTCTCACGAAGGATCAGTCTGTAAGTCAAACGAAAACTGCAAACGAGCGGCATTAATATCATCTCGCATTAGACCACAACGACGGGTCTTACTCATAGCTCCACATGGATCTGGTGAAGTCCGAATCCATAAGCGAGAAGATCGCCTCGACGTCGCCGCTGGGCAGACGCTCCGGCGCCTTTTCGATGTTCCAGCGGACAATCCTGGCGAAACCATGCTGAGGTCCATACGGCCATGGCCCGAATTGAGCTGCAAAAAAATACGTTCACCTTACCATACAATATGCTCATCAACCATGGCGGGACTTACGAAAAACGAATGGAATTCCTCCTCTGATCGCCTTCTTCCCATCGAACTGGGCTTGTTTGCTCACAAAAAGCTGCTCCTGATTGTTGACCCGCCAAGAGACGACGGTCGCACCTGCAATGGATTACATTATACCATACGTAAACAAAAAAAAACAATGAGGTTATGGATGTTCAAGTATTTTTTTAAGGTACATCTCAATCGAGCTTTTTTTTTCCTTCGTGCGGTCGATTCAAAGTGAAGCGGAGGGAAAAAAGATTTGCGGACTCGAGTGACCCCGGACAACCGCGGACGCTTGTCTTCATTACCGTGCAAATTGATAGTGCAAGTGGTATTATTTCCTCTATCGAGAACCACAACACTGGTGGCCGCCATGGCTTTGATCCAGGCAGATGCGCAGCAATCTTTTTCAAAACACTTGTTTAGCACCTTAGCACTTTTACTACCTGCGCGTACGCTCGACAGGTGCCAAGTCCCTCTATCGGAGATAAAAAAGATATCGGTTTGCTATTTTGCAAATGCTACAGCAATGGATGATTATAGTAACAAGGCTTGTGGATGCGGATACCCGACGCCAACGATTTTCACCAGCAGACTCAAGACAACGGATGCGAACAACTAGTTTTTCATACCTAGTCCACAGCAAAAAACAGCCTTCCAGCGGACGAGCAAAAACTCCTAAACGCCGTCGCCATCTGCGCCGCATGCTCTGGACTATATCTGCAGATCAATAGACCATCCTGATGAGCGGAGCCCTCTGCACTAGATATCTACAACCACCTATGTTTATGATGCTGCCGTTTCCAAGGTGGCGCGACCATCAACAAATTTCGTAATTTCATTTCAAATGCATTAGCAATATCTCAAGTGTTGCCAACAGACTCTTTAAAATTCGCTGATAATACGCTTGTTATCATACATTATCAGTTTTCAGAGTACAACAGGTTTTTTTGTTTCCGTAAACAACTTGTTTCATTATTCTATCCGTATGCGCACAAATATTTATATGCTTATTTTAAAACATTTTTAAGCGAGTAAATATTTGCAATAACATTTACATAAATAAACGTTGTTTATTAATACACAAGTAAAATAACCCATAGTCATAGCTTTTTAAGTTAAAATAATGTAATGCAATTATACAAGAAATACGTGGAATTCATAAATTTACATCAAAACATATAATTTAACTATACTGTAAATTACGATTAAAAATAATATATCAAGTATACTTCCTCATTTCAACACTTATCATTACTTCCCAATTATTTCTCAATTAGTAAAATGCCAGTTACATTATTAATGTAAACTTTGATATTGATTTGTATAAAATGTATAACATCATCTGCTGACTGATTAGAGATGGAATTGGGACAGAATCGTCCCTACCACTAATTACACTAGTGTAGAATCCTTGCAGTGAAATGGAATCAGAACGTGATTCGACTGAACAATAACAGGAAACACTAGATCAAATTTGCTGAATCTAATTCGGTTTGATAACTTATACAAATTACATTACAATAGGTAATAAAACAATACAAATAAAAATTAGTTATATTAGTTTCCCAGTTTTATTAATCAATAATGATTTTAGTAAACTAAATTATTTAATTTTAAAGTTTGATAACTCAATTTCTGTAACTTTGTTGTATGAAATAGGAATAAAAATATTTAATAAAATATTTCTAATTTTTAATTATTCTTTACCTTTTGATGCTTTTGCGTATTTCGTGGATTTTCGAAAAGTATTTAATATATTATTGTAGAAGATTAATGTAACAGTAAAGTAACGTGTTGGTACGTATTTTTATTAAGAAATATTTAAGAATTCTGTAGGTGTCACGAGATACAAGTCTCTATGATAATCAATAGAAATTGGTACACTATATAAACATTTGTGCTTTATACCAAGAAATTCGTAAATGCAAAAAAAGTATTTTTGAAGTATAAATATTTTGTAAAAAAAAATAAATATTATGTAACATATTGCATATTGCATTGGAACTGTTGTTATCGTGAGTAGTAATTGAAATCGGATTTGTATATGTGTTAACAAGGTGGAATTAATTGAGCTATTGCATTCCATATGCGTTCGTGTTAAACGGATTTCGAAGCTCGTGCTGTTACAATATTATCGAAATGGATAAATAACTTCACGGCTAAATATATAACGCTCAATATTACATCATCGCTTCTGGCAAATTCATCGCACATACATCTAAAAGTGGATACAAGTGATGCAAAACCGTAGAAATTGCCGAAAAATGTAGGAAAATGCACATGAGCCAAGATCGTTTAACCGTGTCTGCGCCTTGGGTGCATTAAATTTGATGTCGTGCTCGTGAACTGTGAAAGTGATCGCTAATAGATATTGGAAAAGGCTTTCGGTAAAATGATCCGCGTATCGAAGGTATAACGTAAACAATCTAATTTTCGCGCGGCGAAAGAGCGCAGAGGCCAATTTATAAATTTTCATTGGCGATTACGTAAAACGTGTAAAACGTAATCGAGCTGCGAGGATGTCTGAGATCGGCCGCTTCGATCGCTAATAGACTTCAAGAGAAACGCTTTGGAAAATTAACTGGAAATTAAGTACACGCTCGGCAGTTTAGCCTTTTGCCCGACAAAGGGAGAACTTAACGGGAATAATTTACTGGGACCTTTAAAGACACAAAAGAAAATTGAATGGATGAGTGAAAAATAAAATTATATATCAAATTATGATTACATTGTTACGAATGAAAACATATGTTAACATACCGAAAAAAATAAGAAAAAAAATAGAAAATTTATTAATTTTATAATTTATTTATTGCTCCATTAAAATTTTGTTTGTTTTCAAATTTTCAAACCGAACTAATTCAAGCCGCACTATGTGATGTATTGCAGTATTTCATAAATTGATCAAAAAAAGCGTAAATATTTGAGAGTTTGTTTGTTCATCTTAAGGAAAGAAATCTTTAAACGTATCATAATTATGACATTTCATATACTACATTATTTACAACGAATAAATGAACTTTATATTTATTTTTATATTAATGGATAATATTTTATCTGGAAAAAAAAAGTTATGTGAAATATTGTTAATTTTTGTCTTATTAAACAATATTAAAGAAAATTTTTGATGAATTGCAGTCTAATATTTTTTTTTGTGCAAGTTTAAACTTATGTTTCATAATCATTTTGGATTTCGGAATTACTACATCCTAAGTAGTATTTTATATAATTTCTAGTGGTAGGAGTAAATTGCAGCGTTTTATAGTGTAATTAAATTAAAGTTGAATGTGCTTCAAGTCTATTACTATAATTAGATCGTTTCCTGGATGTTTTAGATGTCGTAAATATTGAGTACAATTGAGGACGTTGCATAAATACATTGAGATGTAATCACTGGAACATTCTGATATGAAATTGTATTTTGTTTGTATTAATAATTAAGGACTTGTCCATCACGGATCAAGGACTAAACAAGGATTACATAAAACTACTTATCTTAATGTATTTGAAAAAGCTTTTTGCTTCGATAAATAATTGAAGACACTGCATCATCCAGGCAGGGCGAAACTAGTTCACAAAGTTGGAATAAAACTACTTTACACATATGTATATAAAAAAATCTTTTCATTTTGATTAAAATTTAAACAAACTTGTACACTGGAACATCAAGGAGTAGACAAGGATTACACGGATAGAATAAAACTACTTTACATATAGAAATCCTGAATACATTAATATTTGCTTAAAGGACAAACCAAAAGAATTAACACAAAGAAAGACTAAGCAATTTGCATGAATGTAAATACAGTTTACATGTATTTTCATTTAATTAAACTGCACGTAGTCACATCTAGAATTAAAAGGGTAGAAAAAAAGGGGTCCTTCCAATTATTTATGACGAGTTTTTCTTGTTTCTCTAGTTTACTTTTTTATAGTCCTTTGGTCTCTCTCTCGTCCTTGCGAGCGAGTGTGTGTATCAGCTCGTTCTTATCTCAGAGAAGCACGTACACCCGTTCGAGGTGGTTATTTAGTTTCCTTGGAAAGGACCCCAGGCCCGAACGTTTCGCAAAATTTATTTACTGATGAACTTTTCGATTTATTTTATTGACCCAGTATCTCTCGAGAAAGCTTCCCATGCATATATGATACATTCTACGTGTTTGTTTATGTATATAGATAAATCCTTTTTTTTATTTGCCCTTTCTCACCCCTCATAAAAAGAAAAATCAATTACCCAAACAACAACAACTACAAACAACGCGAGAATGTACACATGCGGTAATCCCATTGCCGATAGAAGCCTTTCGCTCGATAAGCCAACAACACCTCCCCTACAAAGCAGGCTGCTGATGCAATTCGGGTCTGTTTGTAGTATCCTTTGTGTGTTCGTTTGCGTACCCTCAAAGCAAGAGAAACATTAAAAGTACACGCTTTGTTCATTCGATTTCCCTGTTTATACAGACAAAATAAAATATCAAACAAACAATAGAGTGTATGTATCTCAAAAGACAAATTAAGAAAATTTTCCATAAAAAAAAAGTTGCTGTAAAATCATTGTTTTTCAAATAATTATATACACTATACTTGCTTGACATGCGACATGCACTGCGTGTTTTAAACTACGTTAAACTGTAATTGATAATCATGGACTTCGATGACACTAAAACTTAATCGTCTGTCGCAATTACCCAATAATTTATCAACTTTTATTTACAATATTAATAATTAGATTATTTACTGTAAAAAAAATATAAAAATGTACAAATAGGACGGAAACACTTATGATCAAGACATTTGGCGCCACTAAGAATAATGCACCCCTCTTCATAAGAAAATACACAGAAGGGGAAGAAAAATTTCCACCCCAAAAGGCTATAGTCGATTTAACTATGTGGTTAGCTTGTCCCTTGTTAGTAGCCCTTTATAACAGTTATGATATATAAATATTTTCAATTTATTAAAATATTTTTAAGTAAATCCTATTCACTTTTTTATTCTAATTTCTATAGATTCTAGCAAGCTACTCGGAGAAAGCACGAAGATTTCAGTTAGCTCGTTGGAAAGGTTTCATGCGAGTGGTCGATGATGTAATTATCTTAAGGGGTTGTCGAGAAATTCACGAAAAACTAAAAAAAACGTCGTTTCTTACGTATAGAACGTTAAGTAACTTTTGTTACATAAAAAGTTGCACAACGCTTGCATGCAACTGATTATGCAATAAAATTATAAAATTTCATTAGTTTTTGAGTTATTAACGAGAAACGTTTTTTTTCTATCCATCAGCGATTTATTAAAAACCCATGTAAATCAATTTTAAGAAAATCCTATTAATTTTTCTTTCAAATTCTATAGCTCATAGCAATATATATAGTAATATCTTAAGGGGTTGTCATTTTTGTCCACGCGGCGAAGCATATTCGAACTAAAAGTATCGATATTAAATGGTCCGAGGTTTCTCTCTGCGAAAAATGAATACAAAGAAAACAATTTTCATCAAAATAAAAGTTCAATCTGAATTCTCTCATACAGTCGAGTGCATTTAATCCAGTCCCGTCTTTCAACCATCTCCTTTCCCATCCCATCGCATCTCCGTAATACTAGGTACAAATACATCGTCTACCCAAAAGCAATTACATTAACTTAATATCTTGCAAAACCATCTGACACCCTTCGTCGAAAGCGTAGCGCTGCACTCAGCACGAAATTGTGCTAGCACCTGCAATTTCCTTGTCAAAACCGAAGGGTGATGAACCAAAAAAAAAAAAAACGTACAGAAATATAGAATTACAGTAGACTCCCGTATAACGCGGTTAATGCCATATGAATTCGCGTTATAGGAAATCGTGTTATATGAAAAATTTAATCATTTTGTAATATTACGCGTTGTACGAGAATCGTGTTATATAAAAAAAGATGTCCGAATATTTTTTACTCGTTGCAGGAATTCGCATTATTCGCATATGTAAGAATTTACTGTTCTTGGGCAGGGAGATGCCAGTACATTTATTATATTCCCTGTTGAAATATTCATGCTTTTTCAGTAATAAACTTTTTGTTTATTCAGGCGGTATCGCTTTCAGAATAAAAAAATGACAAGGAACTTGAACCGAATGCCAACATATTTACTTAATCCTTCATGCAATATTAATGTGCAGGTTCGTTTTCAGCTCATTTAAATGTTGGATAAAAAAAAGTTTAACCCTAAAAGTTTTACGCGTAAATCAATGAACGAGTGGGATATGCCAATACATCAATTTTATATCCTATACGTCAAGATTAAATTTCCATATTGATATCCCCCGAATATATAGGGATTTTTTGATAACAACAAAAATTTAAATTGAATTTTCACATATTTATTTTTTGCAGATTCATTTTATGAGAAAACTTACCTTTAAATTCACTACAACTTCAGATCAATCCAAATTAGTATATTTCTTCATTATGAAGTGTTATTTATTTAATAATATACCTCGCATTGTGCGGCTTCGATCAATCGGGTATGATGATAAATATGATAAATTCAAAATTACCGCGTTATTAGTGTGTAAGATTCTTTAAGTTGTTGATTAAAATTCGACTAACAATAATTGTATAGATTGTTTGAAATAATTGTTACCTGATGTGCAAATTCAGGGTGAAGTTCAAATATATAATATGTAAGTAGGATGCAGCATTACAAAGCGACAAACAGAATGACATTTAATTGTTATAATTGCAATTAAAAGTAAAGTTCATGTGAGCGTGTACACAGCAAAGCATAATGTAGGTTTCACTGCCAAAGCGAGAGTAACTTTATTTATAAATGAAGTTATCAAACAAATTCCCATCTAAAGTTCACGTTTGTAACATTGACATTGGCACTGAAAACGCGACGAAGCGTGTGCAATAAATGTGAGAAAGTTCGCAGAATTAAAAAAAAAATATGAAATCGAGTCAAATAAAAAAAAAGGATTAGAAATGAAAGAAAAACTTTAAATCGGTGATCCTTGATACAGGACATATAAAATAAAAACAAAACTTTTGGAAAAGTTCGACGATAATTTCCCAGAGCGACGAAGTTTATATTTATGAAAAAAAGGAAAGCACTGCACTTACCTCAGCTTTGAGCGTGAACGTTGACACATGTACGCGTTTATTTTCAACGATTCCGACTGAAAGGGGAAGGTAAAGGCGAGAGAAACAAACACAATCGAGTTACAGATTTAAGAAAGAGAAGTTTTTATTGCAAATAGAAAGAACGTAACAAGGTTTCGGTGTGTGGGGGGGAGGATTAAATCTCTTGGTATTCTTCTTGGTGTTATTCATTCATTTAATAATAATATTATTATTTTGTTTTTCTGTCGGTGATACAAAGGAAACAAGTCGACTGCTATACATAATATAATTCATCGATTTATTCTTAACTTTTTTTTTGTCCTCCTGACTTAATTTCATATAATTATTTTTTTTTTTGTTGCTGTTCGCTTTTTCTTGCATTTACATATATCTTTTTTTCTTCTTCTTCTTTGTTTATCCATTGAACACATCGTCATATAATAAAGAGTTAAAAACAGATTGCGCCATTAACAAACTATTGATTACAAGTGAGTACAGAGGGGGAGGTCGAAAGGACAAAGAAACGTCTGGGAGGCAGAAAAATCAAATCTTGGTAATTGGATGGATCTGAATAGTCGAGATGATGATCATGTCTTTATTCGAATTATATAATTCATGTAATAGCAATCGCCGCGAAATGGCAATGCCACGTGGGCAGACCGCTGCGGGATTAAAAGGGCACCAACAGCTATAAGTGGTTGATGTATAATGGCGTAATCCGATGTGAAATCACTAAACTTACTGACATTGATGTAATTACATTATCATCATCATTATTATTATTATTTATGGAATTATCATTATTATTATTATTATTAATATTATTTATTTTATTTTTAAGATTTTTTTTTTCTTCATTAATAAATAGGATTTAATATTTCAAGGTACCTTTAAGGCTAGATGAGATCACTAGTGTACATACTATCTTCTAAGCATAGGCCCGTCAGATGTATCCCAAGACATAGTTAACTCAATTTTTTTGTTTTGTTTATGGACATCGTTATTTTTTATTTGTCGTTAGTTTTTTGTTGCATTTTTATTAATTTTTGTTTTTTTTTTGTAGATTGATATTTATTATTGGTGTTTTCAGTTTTGGAATAGAACGAAAGGTTAAATAATCAAAAAAGAAAAACAAATAACGTCGTCGGATGAAAACCCGTTCAGATCGGACCTAACGCTATTTCCTAGTAAAAGATTGTACATGAATATCCCTATCACGTTATCATATAATTTGACATTCATTAATATAATTTTACTTTAATATTGCTCAATTATGTTATATATCAGTTGTTCATGTGTGTATATTTTTATGTATGTATATATACTTATATGTAAAATAACGAACGTTCTATAGAAATATGAAGTTTACTGTTTGAACAGAACTACTATGAACAGATATATATATTTTTTTATCATTGTATATAACAATTCGCTAATCTAAAATTTAAAAAAAATGTATACAGGTACACAACTGCATACATACATATATAAACATATACATATGCATGTATGTACATTTATACTATGTTAATTTTCCTACATAACACTGCATGCACTTGTTCGGTCCAGGCATGATGTAAGAAAAGTGAGCAGAGTTACCTTATATAAAGTATATTTTTCTTTCTTTTTTTTTGCCTTATGCTTCCTTCACTAATATCCTTTCATTTAACCAATTTTTGATTTGACACAATGTTAATGTTATTTTAATAATAGTTACAAAGGGTAGAATCACGTGGGTTGTGGGAGGATCGCGGAAGGATTATCGGGCGACTAGCATGCAGGACGCCCGAGCCTTCCCTCCGCTGTCGCCCTCGGAGCCCTATCTTCTTACATAATTATTAATATTGTTATTATGACTTTTTTTTTCTCTTTCTCTCTTTCTTTGTTGGTTTCTCATATATATGTATATAAACTATGACATTAAGAAGAATAAATAAGTATCCTTTGGTATGATCACTATCCGATAGGCGACATAACCTACTTTAGTTATTTATTTAATAAAATTGTTGTAGTATTTTCAACCACTCAAACCCGAAAAATGGGTCTGACAAACGTAACTAATCCACACTTTATGAATAAATGGTGATGACTTCTTGGCCGCCGCCGCGGACCATGAGCACTCGTTCCAATCCCTCAGTGAGTACTTCCAAGAACTCCATGTCTGCAAAACAATAAGAACAAAAGAAATAGTTGAGCGAGCTAGTGGAAAGCGAAGAGGTGGAATGAGTATCGTACAGTTTGACTCCCGTTCCATCTTAGTGTCCTTAGGTGGTCCTGGCAGGTTCAGGATGACTAGTTGAGCATCGTGCGAGCGACTCACAATCGCCTCGTTCAATTTAACAGCAGTGTGCATTCTACGCACGTTCCCTTCGTCGCTGTAATTACCACCGTGAAATTAGAAATGCCCATGGCATATGTACGATGGAATGAAAGAGAGAATGAAGGTGTATAGTGTATGTGTATATATATTTACGGCGTTATTGTGGCAGGATTCTTCTCGTCTTCTCCCTCGCTCTCCTTGGCGTCCGTTAGCGGCTCCTTCTCCGACGCGTCCTCCTTCTCTCTTATTGAATTCTCGCAATCACCGTTCACATCCACCGTTGGTACCTAAAAAAGGTGACCGGGTACAGATGAATTAGTTGAATTCATGATGCGGGACTACTGAAGATGTTACCTCGTTCGAAGGTTCGTCGTTCGGTTTCTTGTCTGCAGCATCAGCCGCGCCCTCCGAGCCTGGCTCTTGGAAACGCACTTTCGTTGTTTTGGCATCATTTTGATGATGTTGGTCTACAATGGACTGAACCTACACGCAAATATAGACGACGTTTATAAAGATGTTCTTTCAAAATCGCGATGACCATGAAACATCTAGATGGAGGGTGATTAGGTGACACATGAACAAAACCGAATAGGTAAAACGTATCTATAGATTTAGTCACACCTATTTAGCTTTACGATAAGTCGAGTGATTCTAAGATGATTGATAAAAAGTAAAAAAGTAAAACGGTTGCTATAGCTTCTATTCGCTTAGAAGTTGGAGTGTTATTAGCATTGTTTGTTTGTTTTATTTATGTTGTAGTTTGTTTTGTATATAAATTAAAAGAGGAAAAACTCTAGAAAGAAAAGAATAATAATAAATAAGAGGTTTGCCATTCGGATGTTCAACTCAATAAAACCATGCACAAAGTAATATACCATGAAATAGCTCTAGCGTAACACTGTTGGTGCGTTACCAGAGGCAGTTTTTCTTCCGCCGATACTTCATTGAAATCCACCAATGTCTGTACCTTGCATGTTAGAATTCATATTAAAAGATCACATCAAGACAATAGAGCCGAGGCCATTAAATACATATAGTAAAATTCACGTTTATATTAAGTATGTTGAGTGCATCACTCAGAAAATGAAAATCAAGACTTACCACTCCCAAACTTTCTTTTTTGTTGAGCCGTAGTTCTCGCAGCATCTGGTTGCGCTGCTCCATCATCAGGGTCCTCTCGTACGTGTAAGCCGAAATATCACTATCCAACTGAAACGAAATCCAATAAAACTTTGCAATTGTTTGCATTTATTTCTGATAATACCATCTCAACAACTTCAACCTCTGCCTCAATACGTAAGTGGTACAAAAACATTTTCAAATCCTTCTTCATCTGTATAGAGTTATCTTCCATCTGCGCCACGGTGAAGATGCGCATCTTGCAGTTCTTCCAGGTTCGATGTTGTTTCAGTAAGAAAGGCAATAACATCAGAAGTCCTCCATCGTGTACAATCCACCAAACGTCGATATTTCCTACCACCTTCTCCGATGAATCGGGGAAGAAGTTAATACCTTTCGGAACAAGCAATGCCATACGGGCAGAAGTCACGTTACGGACGGTCTGTAGAAAGACCTGCCATGTCCTGTTATTATCCTTTGATTGGCGCCAACCGTATGGCCATCCCAGTATTACTGTGTTCGGTTTCATACCACCGAGTCCGCTCGTTTGAATCCTGAACACCAACAAACATAAAACATGTAGGCCGTGTTTTGTTCGCTTATACATGCACTTACAGATGTGATAGTCCATCGGTGACATTGCGAGCAACTAAAATATCGACAAAGCCTTTGACGCGTTCCTCATCAACAGTTCTCCTCAGATTCTGCTTCGCTGCCATGGCTTCGCCGCATGCCCTAGTATAATCTCCGTTAATAACAGATGCACAAACCGTAAGCCCTTTGCCAGCTTTCAACTGGGAAGCAAACGCAAATAGCTTGCGATACTTTGGAACTAGATCGGAGGTTAATTTTACTAAAATAAGGATCTGTGGTCTCCAATTCTTGGTGTGCGGAGGACCTTCCTCGAGGCGCAGCAAAGAGAACCTTGCCGCCGATAATGCCAAACCCCGGATTCCATCACCCCATTCTTTCTCCGCGCTGAAAACCATCAAATCCAAACACATTGCAGTATTTCCAAAAACTTTTACCGATGTATATAACATACCCACGGTACTCGATGTATTTGTAGATTAAACCAGCCATACCCATCGCAATTAAAGCATAATACCAAGACGTCATGAACATAATCGCAATGCAAAGGGCAAGCCCGATGAAGGACAGTGACCAATGATAATACTTGAAGCGAGGTCTCCAGTTAGGTGTCCTGAGAAGAGTTTGCAGGGCGCAAGCCAGGTTTACAAATCCATAGCACATGAGGAAGAACATCGAAAGAAGTGGTGCTAGATAGTCGACGTTTCCGAGTAAAATACCGCACTGGCATATGAGGATAGTCAGAACCAGTGCTCTGGTCGGTTCACCTCTGCTAGATGATACAGCAAATGGTGATAGGAATGGAATGATTCCGTCCTTGGCAATAGCTTGTAAGAGTCGAGGTGCTCCAGTTAGCGATTGAAGACCAGCACCCAGAGTCGATAGGAATGAACCGATCAGAATTACCCACTGATTGGGCCAGGCTATATTCGCTACAACCAACTTTCCACCGATTGATACACCGAACCTGAAATGTTAACATAGAATAGACTAGTTGGATTACGTGAACTTCGTCTCGAGCACGTACTTGTCCCTGAGGAGCAGATTGTCAACGGTGCCGGCGAACAGAATCACGGTGGACAGGTAAACAATGGATGTCGTTAAAATTGCACAAATTGTTCCAATGGGAATGGACTTCTGTGCATCAGCCAAGTCGCCGGAGCGATTTGAACCTGCCATGATTCCGGTTACAGATGGGAAGAAAATTCCGATCAAGATCGTGAACGTAGCCGTGATATCAGCGGACACTTGATTGTACTCATCGCGACCTAAGTTCTCAATATCCTCAAGGTTTTTGCCCTGCGATATGAACTGTCCCAGTTCGAGGAAGCTGTCCTTGATGTTGTCTGAAATGGAAGAAAGGAGAAAAAAATATTGAAGTTAAGTGGACTCTCAAATCATCTGATGTTGTATAGTACCGAGGAGTACGCCGGATGATAAGCCCTTGATGCCTTGCACAATGGATACATTGTGAGATTCGTAATAAGGATCACAAGTGGTTGTATTACAGAATACTCGATGCAAAGCACCGCCTTCCGTTTTGTTGCACTCATTCAAGGATATGTCCTTCAGGAGACGCTTTCCAAGAACGCACATGCTGTATAAAAAATAATAATTAATTGATGATATTTTTCATTTTTTTGTCGTCGATTCAAAATGTCACTTTATGAATAATAGACTTAATTGAATACTAACTGCAGGTTATCGTTGCCGTTGATATTAACGAAGATACCGACGTATACGGCGATGATGGAGAATATAACGCAGGCCAAAGCAAGGGTGGCGAACTTGTTGACGAATTTGACACCGATAAAGACTATGGTACCCATCACAACAAGAAGGCCTGTCCCGTATACTCTGAAATTGTTATACATAGCGCTCGCATCTTTGGTGAAATCTCCGAATATCGAAAGGCTAGGTGCCATGTACGTCTAGACAAAGAAAATATCAATCATAGGATGTTCTAAGATCAGAAAAGACGTGATCACATACTAGGACAATCTCGACAGCACCCACAATGTACATGGCTGCTGCTAGCGTAGTCCCCGTGTAGAACAGCATCCCCACGGCTCCTCCGAACTCTGGGCCTAATGATCTGGATATCATGAAGTAGCTCCCCCCGCCCGGTACCACTCCATTAGTAGCAATGGCCGACATAGATATAGCAGTTAGCATGGTTACACAACAACAGCATAAAACAATCAGGAATCCTTGAACAGCACCAGCAGTACCAACGACCCACGTCAAACGAATAAAAAGAATCACTCCAAAGATGTTCTGGATGCACGGTAGGTACACCCCGATGAGGGTACCCATCCGAGCACCGCCACCTGCCGGTCTAGCATCTGGATCAGCAGATGCTGGTGGGATGGTATTGGAATAGTTTGCCAACGAGCTGATAAGCGTCGAGATCCGCGGTCTATCCTCCATCTCCTCCTGCACAAAACACATATATTAGTGGTACTTCTCATACACCAATCGAATCCGTATATTACCGAATAGAGGTAGAGATTCGTCTCATAGCCAGAGACCTTCTCAGAGACGAATGTCTGCTCGTCGGTGCCATCTCCTGAAACAGAAAGAAAACAGATTCGGAATAGTAAAATAGTCCATTTGCTCCAATTACGTGACCACAGACACGTGCTAACTATATCCATTTATTTGGTTGGTATCGATTTGGTAGCGAGGAAAGAGTAGAATAACAACTTTAAGAGGTTTTGTTTGTAGCCGAACGGGTAAACAAGAAAATAAGATATTAGCAAGTGAGATGTATGCATGCAGAGAAAAGAATAAAATAGAAATTGCTTCTGTGATCTCAAGAAAAGCACTTTCAATATTTGCACGACACGAGGACAAATATGACCTCGGCGCCTTTTAAGTAGACGGAAAAGTGCAAACATCTTCTAGCCCGCAGGGCAGGGTGTGCTCGGCGTCACTCCCAATGATATCACACTAAACAACCTCTGGAGCGGACGTCGTATGATATGGATTGCGATAGATAAGATCGGCTGCTAAGTTTAGAATCAATACTGTGACTTGTATTTTCCGACGATGTGCATTTGCGTGGGTGTGTTTGTCAGAAATTCGGATACGCTGCAGCCGCAATATTAATGACTTACAACCAAATTGGGAAAGTTAAAATTAATGGCAAATTGGCGTCGAAACTTAATCAGGACTAGGGTCGTCCTGACAGGAGATTACGACCGAATTCGTCTCGCGCCACGGCCAGCCACAAAGGTGGCAAATTGGCATCTTGGCCATCCCTGCTTTGGTGTGACTGGCCTCTAACAACCTTCCATTCAAATAGTAATTTGAAGTCGTAGCTAATTCCGATTCGAAATTACCTTATACCGACTTTCCTCAAATCTTTATAATCAGCATTTCAATCGAATATTCAAATTACAACAACTTTGAGAACATGACAGAGCTACGAACTTATTTAAACTTTCTTGAGAAATAGCATACAAATTTACATACGTCAATTTTGAATCAAATACATTCATATTTGAAAACTTCTCACACAATTTTATAACGTAATCATCAATAATATTTTTATTATTATAGTTAATAATGGTGGTTTGAGAACTGTTTAAAACTTTATACATTAAGTAGTAACCATAAATTATTTGACTTTCAAGACAAACCAAACAAGTCAATGACGTAATCTCAATCCCATTAAAGAAAAAACGGTTGCTCTTTACATTTATTGTTATTGTTATTTTGATAGGGGTCTTATAGGGAAACCAAATAGGATACGCCAAAACGGTCCAAGGTCGAAAACATTTTCGATACTTTCGAGAGTCAACCGTTTCAATAGGGCGTGAAATTGATTTCGCCCTGGGAGCCAAATACACTTGAGATGTGAATCGTGAGAGAGAAAAAAGAGCCGATACGATCTTACATAATTGAAGGGCTTTCTATGTCGTTGATTCCTATTATATTTTCGCTAGAGAAGGATTTCTGCGCAAAAGGCTGAACCAAGAAAAAAAAAGAACGATTTCACTTTAAACATGCAGGTGTTAAAATGTTCATCGTTCCCTTAATGTTTAGCCGAAGGATAAAATTTAACTAGATTTACATTTTAAATTATATAATCGACAATATGATAGAAAACAATAAAAGTTTTCTTTGGATTAATAGTTGTATCAATTAATATGCAATATTTGTCTACTGTTACAAGATGAGTAACATCATTAAGCTCGGAGCTCTTATTGTTGTTGTTGTAGAAAAGAAAAATATATTCAGACTGAGATCGGGGTCGAGTAGGAATCGAAGGATCTCTCTTTTATATCATATTATTCTCCATCTCGAACTTGAAGTGTTCGTTACGCAAACCCATAAAACTTAAGGGCTGTCCAGAGGAATAAAGATGATCCCATCGTAAAATCCCTCTCGCACTTCGCCGACGTCGACTGCAAACTTAAACACTGGAAATCCACAAATCACGTCATTAACCGAACGAGAATCAAAACAGATGCTCTCATGGGGGTATCGGATTTTGCTACCCTGGGTTTTACTGGTGTCACAAACAAAGCGTTAATTAGTTCCAATCAGACAGTGGTGCTCCCATCGAACAGAATGCAAATAAACCATTTTGTAGAACAACGTTTCAGGACAAATCAGAATAGCAATTAGGATCGTTTTAATTAGAGCGCAATTACAGAAACAAACGATTGTCATTACGTAATAAAAAAAACGAAAACAGCAATATCGAAAACGAGTGGTGGCAATGAAAAATATACGAATTGTACTTGTAATCCCTCGTGTACGCACAGAATGTGCATTCATGTTTAATTAAATGAATGAACAATCGATGAATAATCCGCACGTTTTCGAATGACGAAATGAAACTCGATTTTCATGTATTAAATTCGTCCCGAAGGATTTACTGTTCACGTAATACTCAGTTTGCATTTATTTAAAATCACGACGAATAAACACGCGCTACTTTTTTTGAAAGCTTGGATTAATGAATTTATCTGATTATAAAATAATCCGTTTGATTTCCGCAGAATTTCGTAACAATGGACAATAATAATGATTAGTTCTTCGATTTACCTATATTTGATACAATACATTTCTTTCATTACAAAATAATCCGTTTGATTTCTGTAGAATTTCGTAACAATGAACAATAATATTAATATTTCAGTTCATCGAATTATTGTATTATGATTTCTGCATATTTGATCTCTGTATGTAATAAATTTTAAAATTTTATGTAGTATGACATAAAAATATGTCACGTAACTGTCGGAATATTAACATCAATATATAAAAAATGAAATATGTGAGAATTCGGACAACAGCAATTTTGTTTTATTTGTTCTCTATTAATAATTCTTTATAGAAACTCATAAAATATAAAACTCGTTGTAGTTTCTGGATCAGTAACCATCAGACATTTTACGACATTCTCAATATGAACTTATGTAACAAAACAAAATCAATACCTCTGTCGACGCCCTAAATTAAGAATACAAAATAAGTTTTTACAATATTTGAATAAAATCAAATATTTTTTCTTGCCCCTAATTTTGTCTTTTTAACATTAAAAGGGAATGAAATCAATCAAGGTTTTAATATATAAGATTTTTAAATGATTACTAAATATAAAAATTAATTGAAATATATTTTTAATTATCAAATAAACTTCATATTTTATATACTTAATGGTTTCTAAGGTTCTAAAAGTTCTAGGAAACTAGAATATCATTGCCGTACTCACGAAATCGTAGAAAAATGTCCTGTTCGATAACCTGTTTAAAGAAAAAGCTCCTAACATATAGAAATCACATCAAAATTAAATTAAAAGTTATGCTTGATGTTTATTTTCTTATGGAAAATTAGTTGAGATTCTTCAGGATTAATAAACATAAGAGTACACATTTAACGATACGTAACTAATCTAGTATTGAATAGTAGAGTATACAGATTTATGTAAAATACTTATTTTATACTGAAAGAAAAGAAGTACTTAATGATACATATGTATATTGATGAGCTACAAAAACTTGAAGAAGATGACAATACTTAACTTGGAGAAGTTATTTTTTTATATATATAGCGAAGTATAGCTACAAAAGTACTTTTACATGTTAATAAGTATATCTTCCATTTGCCAAGTAACTTGTAGTATAATCTTTATACAATTGTATAAATGTAATAACATGTGCTGGACAAGTAACAAGAAGCAGATGTGACATGTAATTAATGTAGAGATCCTTAGGGCTTTGGCGACTTATATCCTTAGGGTTCTCATCGCGTCGATGGAGAATTTGCGCACGTGTCAGATATAGAGAAAACTATACATGGATAGACTGTATTAAGGATAAAGTGTATGAGAGATAGAGAAGACGGAAGTGAACGAAGTTTCAGGTTTCGATCCATTAAAACGGAATTAAGCAGGAATTACCGTCAACGTGATTATAATCAAGCCGCTAAGAAGATTGGTAATTATACCAGCCGCAATGTGGAAATTAAAAATAATGGCTTCGGATTATTCACAGTACAACGATTATCGTACCATTCACGTTTATATTCCATACAGATTATTATAATCCCGGAGCAAATCATTACCGATTAATTCGGGAGAGGCTTGCATTGTTCCCCATTGCCGACTACTGGGAATGCTCTATAGGTCCATTGACTTTGTAGGTTATGCACCGTGCCATTAGCGAACGACTGGAGTGGTTCGAAGAGAGGTCACACCATTCATCAGCCATCCGACCGTTTTGCACAGAACTCTGATATTTTCGCATTTAACGAAGCGATTTCTTTATTTATTTACGCTCCTCTCGTTCTTTTTTTTTGCTCCGTTCGTATTTCCCTGCCTACTCTTTCCTCATTCTCGTCGTTACATCAGTAAACCTCAGAAGGGAGTAAATATTTTCCCATTAACGTAACGCGCCTCTAGGAAAAAAAACAGGAGAAAAAAGGGTATTACGGAGTTGGAGATTAATTATGTTGGGACTTTAGATGGCGACGGTTGCCGTCACTTCTTTAATTGTCATTAATCATTTGACAAATGGGTTTTGCGAAATTGCTATACGCCCGAGTCTAACATCAACCCCGAAGATTACCTCACTCCTAAAACCGATTCACGTAACCTAAATTTATTTTGATTATGTACCTAAGCACATCTCTGATTGGCTATCAATCATCCAATATGCATTTAATTTTAAGATGTGCAAGATACAAATATAAAAGTTTGTAAGTATAGAAGAGCCTACATACATGTATGTAAGTCCATGGGTACTGGTGCCTAATTTATATAATATATACAGGGGAGAAGGAGTGCTAACATAACGACAATAGAATTATAGTTCCAATATTTTTGTCGTGGGCCCCAAAAATTTTCGTGCCTTTCAAAATAATAGTTTGTTTCTGAAAAAAGAAAAACTAAAATGTAATTCCCTTACATTACATTCAATAAGAGAGATATGAGAAATGCGACCAGCATAAATTGGATTGAATTTCAGAGTAGGTGTAGAAAGTATGCTTCGCACGTGAGTTGACATACAGGCGTGTCTGGGGGCACACGGATCCTAGTCCGAAGTTGTAGGGACA